AGTGAACGGGTGAGGAGGTGAGTGAATCAGACCAAGGCCTCGAGGGGAATTAATCAGACTCATTCATCAAGTAATTAGGTTTGTCTTCGGCTGTAATATCCTTTTTTGTGTGTGCGGGGAGAGGAGGGGGAAGGAGGAAAGAAGGAGGAGGGGGGTGGGGAGGCGGGGAAGAGGAGGACGAGGGGGTGGGAGGCGAGAGGAGGAAGTGGGTGGGGAGGCAGGGAAGAAGAGGGAGGAGGGGGTAGGGAGGAGGGGGGAAGAGAGGAGGGGGTGGGGAGGCAGGGGAGAGAAAGGAGGAGGAGGAGGTGGGTGGGGAGGCGGGGAAAGAGGAGGGAGGAGGAGGAGGGCCAGGGGGAAGAGGGAGGAGGGGGCTGGGGGCGGGGGGAGAGGAGGGCGGGGAAGGGGGGAGGAGGAGATGGGGGAGGGCAGGGGGAAGAGAGGAGAGGGAGGGAGGGAGGAGGCCAGGGAAGGGGAGGGAGTGGGGGGAGGCGGGGAGAGAGGAGGGAGGGAGGGAGGAGGGGGTGGGGGAGGCGGGGAAAGGGAAGAGGTGGAGTGGGGAGGCAGGGGAAGAGGAGGAGGGGGGTAGAGGGGCGGGGAAGAGGAGGGCTGGGGGAGGCGGGGAGAGGGGGAGAAAGGAGGAGGAGGGAGGTGGGTGGGGGAGGCGGGGGGAAGAGGAGAGGGAGGAGGAGGAGGAGCCGGGGGGAAGGGGAGGAGGGGGGTAGGGAGGCGGGGAAGGGAGAGGGAGGGGGAGGAGGCGGAGAAGAGAGGGAGGAGGGGGGTGGGGGGCAGGGGAGAGAGGAGAGAGGAGGAGAGGGAGAGGAGGAGGGGGTGAGGCAAATGGGTTAATCAGCGGAGGAAACTTTAAATGTTGTCACTCAGTCCTTCAAACTCCTTGTCGTCTAGGCACATTAGGCACCCCAGCTTATTTCACATGCTTAGGTTAGGTCAGGTCAAGTTAGGTAAGCGTCAGGGTGTCTAATCATCACGTGAATTAAACTGGAATGCTTAATCTTCAGGTAACCCACAATTTCACCATTCTAATAACATTCACAAGCAAATCAGAACGTCAGTCTAATCTCTGTACCGACCTAACGAGTCTACAGGTGACAAGGGGGGGTACAGGGTGGTAGGTACAGTACTTACCTGGCGTAGAGTGTGTGTGTGTTAGTCTGGTCCAGTACAGTAGGTCACAGGTCAGAGGTCACAAGTCTCTCTCGCCAGATCTATACGTGACAGTGGGTCCTCTGAGGATGCCTTCACTCCTAGTTGAAGTAGAGAGTCAGTCCGTAGTGTCTTGATTTGGCGATGCATTCAAGTCCACCAGCTGGTAATATTAGTGTTGTTGAATTATATGTATAAACAGGTATTATATCCTACACAGATAAACACAGTGTATATTAGCGTTAGGTTAGGTTAGGTTAGGTTAGGTTAGGTTAGGTTAGGTTAGGTAATCGCCCAGCAGTAAATGTCTATAAGTATGGTCAAAATTCTAACACATTCTAAGAACAGATGAACACTGAACACCAACACTGAACACCAACACTGAACACCAACACTGAACACATCAACAGCGGGCAGCGAAAAAAATAGTAAAAGAGAAAGACCTGCCACAAGTAGAGATGAAATCAGGAAGTTCTGGAAGTGTTCAGTGGTGTGGAAGGGTCAAGACAGCCATACCAATCACTTCTCCATATTCCCCTCCACACCAACCCGCCCCCCCTCACACACACACACTCCCAGGTCAGCTCCCCACCTTCCTCCAACACCACCACGCCAACCCTTCCCCACCATCCTCCAACACCACCATTTCCCCCACCTTCCTCCAACACCACCAGGCCAACCTCCTCCACCACCAGCCCGCCCCTTCCCCCACCATCCTCCAACCACCAGGCCCTCCCCCAGGCCAACCCCTCCCCCCCACCATCCTCCAACACCACCAGACCAACCCTCCCCCCCCACCCACCACGCCAACCTCCCCCCAACCAGGTCAGTCCCCTCCCCTCATTTCTCCATTCTTAACAATTTTCTGCACTCCAGGGTCTATATCCAAGTCCGTCGCTGGCCAGGGTGGCACTCCCAGTTAGTTTTTAAAAAATATACTCCAGCTGATAAGTTCCTGTTCCCTGCCCCAAGCTTTTCCTCGAGTCTCGTGGTTCACCTATACCTTTTCTGCTCTTTTGGAACCTCACACACACACACACACACACACACACACACACACACACACACACACACACACACACACACATCCATAAAGAGCATACACTTCTCTCTTTTTTAACCCTACGGTACAAAGCCATAATTTTCGCCTCAAGTCACCTATAAACTTATGGGAACAAACAGTCGTCCCCAATGAGGTGGAAGAAGAATGGATTAATGATTATAACGCTAATTTCTTCTCGATCAGGTCGTGTTTTTTACCTGATCTATGTTATATATGTGTTTGGTTTGTTATTATAACGACTCAGCCTTCAGTAACTTTAATGGATATCTTCTCGTCATCGTCGATATCTCAAAATCCCTTGACCAAAAAATAAATTGGCACCAAGAACTAGCCTTAGGATCTCTCTCTCTCTCTCTCTCTCTCTCTCTCTCTCTCTCTCTCTCTCTCTCTCTCTCTCTCTCTCTCTCTCTCTCTCTCTCTCACGGTGGTCAGCTGTTGGCAGAATCCATACCCATCTCCTTACCCCATGTATAACTACTCCCTATAACTACATATAATCATAACAACAACAACTAAACCACCAACACTAGACCACTTCTCAACAGGTAAATGTTACACCAGGGAGCGAGCATAGTTTAAACACACTAAAACTAATGATTTAGCTTAACTCCAAAGTATGTCTCTTACATGCAGGCTCGCTCAGTGCCCCCTCCCCCAGCCCCGCACGTTTCATCACAATAAACGAGAGATTCATTAAAGCTCGACAATTTACTGTTATATATTCGACGTTAACTCATACAAATTTCATGGAATAAATCAGTCAATTTTTTTTTTCCTGGCAAGAAGATGATATTCTTTTTAATTTATTTTGAGTTATATTACATTGAAGTTATGGTGAGAAAACCTACAGGGGTGTGTGTGTGTGTGTCACCTTCAACACACACACACACACACACACACACAGCTCAATAAGTAAAACACTCGACAATAAGTCTTGGCAGCACAACACAACACACACACACAGACACACACACCTCATTAGGATTTACAACGGACCGGGTTCACCGTCCTATTTGGCGGGTCCTGAGGTGGAGTGTTAAAGCTGAACGATTCCTCCAGCTACTTGCAGACTGTCAACCATCGAGGTATTGCATCTTTTATCCGCTGGTGTAACACTTTCATCACCCAAGTTACTGCCATGTAAATCCTGTTGAAACTGTTGCTCTGTTGCCATTAACGGAAGAATTCACGACTTAAAGCACTCGGTGTCTGAGCATATATTCTCACAGAGGACACACGTTAATGGCGTTTATTTACATATAACAATACATGGACAACGACTCCGTGATTACTTAATATATGGACTTAAAGATGGTGATTTAAACCAAGAACTCAATATAAAAACTAAACTTATTTCCACTTAGTAATATAACCCAACTTTATCAGCTGTTAAGACTCTCGCCACTACACAGATCTGAGGCGATAACGCGTAAGTTCACCCCGAAGCTACCCCCCCCCCCAAAAAAAAAAAACAACATTCCAATTCCACAACAAACAGAGAGAGAGTTGGTGTTTACATAAGACACCATAAACGACTTTCTCCTCGGGGTTCTAATCATCGGTTTACGGTCATCAGGTGAAAATGATTTACATGATTTACACACACAAGAGGTAATAATTTCTACTGAGTTGTAAATATCGATCGAGAAATACTAACAAAAGAAATAGCTAAGTGTAGTAAGAGAACTCATAAAAGTATTCCCTGAGTCTGAAAAAAAGTCCTATGGAGACTATATACAGAGAGACTCTTTTATGTATGCCAAGTTAAAACTCCCACAAGTACAGTTTATACCTTCCAGGGCAACAGACTGAGTGGCTAACTAATCCAGGTAACCTAACAAGGAAACGATCGTCTTGTAAAATTGTAGCATCGTTATATTTCCTCTTTTACAATATATTTTTTTTTACGGGAGTTTTGTTTCCCTGTGTAAATCGTCTTATTGGTCTACCACAGTCCACACTACCTTTACCTCATGAACTAATGGAATCTCCCCTGCGCGCACAACTCTCCACCTGTGAGTCAGACGCGAATAAACCAAACTAATACACAATCACCTTCAATTGCATTTAAACTTCGCGTGAACACTTGAGATCCAACATAACGCTACGTGAATATGGGAAGCAATACTCCTTTCTTTGCAAGACCGAGTGGTAAAAAAAATATTACGGTGGGGAAAGGTTTTACGGCCGGGCACCAGAATATTTTACGTGGAGGCCCTGAGAGATGGTTCAGTTCAAGGACGCGCCGTGGCTCCAGATGTCTGCCTGGCTGTCTACACTCGGGGAAGATGTACGGTGTCATTCTCCTGTGTTCGTGACATATAACACAACATTATTAAAATATGTACACGTTATCCTGCCGAGGCGAGTGGAATTATAAGGCTGAGAGTAACATTGGATAAGAGCATTACATTTCAACTGCATTCAAGCTTGTCCTACATATTCACCAAGAGTGAATGTATTCGGTTCGCATTCTAATATACTGTAGAGTTTTGTGTGATATTACGTCATACATCCAGAAAGATAAAACAAAAATCAAGTACCCTTACACTTTTTTTTTCTCGTAATAATGAAAATTTTCAGTAAACTACATTTTCCTCTCAGACAATTTCAGAATCTTAGCGGCTGTAAAGAAATGACTGGAGGAGAATTTGTTCCCGTAACCATTTCCACTCAGCAATCAATCAGTTTCCAAGACGTTACAGCTGCTGAGGAGACGTGAGGGATGTGCTTAGTCGAGAGGTCAATTTACGTCTCAGGTAGGAAATTAAAGCCCATGTCCCCAACCCATGTCCCCAACCTATGTCCCCAACCCATGTCCCCAACCCATGTCCCCAACCCATGTCCTCAACCCATGTCCCCAACCCATGTCCTCAACCCATGTCCCCAACCCATGTCCCCAACCCATGTCCCCAACCCAACCCATGTCCCCCAACCCATGTCCCCAACCCATGTCCCCAACCCATGTCCTCCAACCCATGTCCCCAACCCATGTCCCCAACCCATGTCCCATGTCCCCAACCCATGTCTGTGTGTCCCCAACCCAAGTCCCCAACCCATGTCCCCAACCCATGTCCCCATGTCCCCAACCCATGTCCCCAACCTATGTCCCCAACCCATGTCCCCAACCCATGTCCCCAACCCATGTCCTCAACCCATGTCCCCAACCCATGTCCTCAACCCATGTCCCCAACCCATGTCCCCAACCCATGTCCCCAACCCATGTCCCCAACCCATGTCCTCAACCCATGTCCCCAGCCCATGTCCTCAACCCACCTACCAGACGGGCTCTACCACCACTAATTGAAATTCACAACTTACACTGGTATGCCGTTTACTTCCGGCTATGCTGTGTATGTTGCTATGACAGCGAACATTTTCTAAATCCTTCACAATTTTACGAGTACTTTTAGTGGTTCTATACACACACGCGGTGGCTAGCTGCTTCATGTTGGCACACCTAAATTTTGTGTTAGATTAAATCCCTCTGTGTTTGACGAGGTAAAATGTGGGCTATTGCTGAAATGTTAGCTCGGTGTATTAAATAAACAAATTGGATTTATAAGGGTTGATCGTTTGTAGTGTGTGTGTGTGTGTGTGTGTGTGTGTGTGTGTGTGTGTGTGTGTGTGTGTGTGTGTGTGTGTGTGTGTGTGTGTGTTCAGTAACAGAGTAAGGGAGTAAACATTTCTACCTTGTAACTGTGGGGAGTTATTGTTGCCTGATCGTAAATTAAATCAAGAATATTTACCGTCGAAGTCACAAACAAATTTATGCTTTCGGAGAAGAGGGTTAGGTTAGGTTGGGTTAGGTTAGGTTAGGTTAGGTTAGGTTAGGTTAGTACCGTAAGCTAAGAAGAGGTTACGTTAGGTTACGTTAGGTTAGTATCACCATCATCAAAAAACACAAAACAAAACAGTATCTGGTATTCAAAGTCCCGTCACAAATTAACAGAACCAAACACGTGTTCTCTGGCCTCCATCCCAGCTAAACAAAAGTGAACCTGTATTTTTTTCATCTCATCGTAAAAATAAAAGACACAAAACAATATAACATCATCTACGTAAATTACTCGTTCACAATATGTCAGTTATGTAACATTATTCTGGGGGGGAAGCTACTTTTTTTATTCATTTTTTTTTCAAATTTTTTTTTTGAGAGGGGAATCCGAAAATGTAGGGTGGCTAGGATCAAAACACACACACACACACACACACACACACACACACACACACACACACACACACACACACACACACACACACACACACACACACACACACACACCATTCAGTCTTAAATCCTTAAAAAAATAATCTGAATTAAAGGTCAAGGATAGATTAGGCCGGATTACATTAAGGTTTAAGTTTAAGCTAGTTTAGGTTAGATTACATTTAGGCTAAGTTAGGGTCGGTAAACTTAGGTTAAATTAAATTCGAGATGGCGTCGGTACAGTCACAATCGTCAGGTAATAAATGAACACTGGCCATTCTGTACAACTAGTGTAAAATCATTAGAGGCGACGAGAACATATCGTGGCAGGACCCAGAATGGACACATGAACTTGTTTCCAGAGTTTAGGACAATAGTTGAGCTCAATACAGAATTACTCCTGCCAGTATGAAATAGAGATATATTGAAGTTATTATTACCGCAGGAGAATTAATCCCACCAGTTGAGTTTAGCGATTAGTTGGAAAGTATCACACACACACACACACACACACACACACACACACACACACACACACACACACAGTTTCAATTAGTTAGTTGGTTGGCACTGGCACTCAAAAAAATTATATATTTTGTTTTCAATACTTGACTTGATGCAGTGACCATGTACTTCCCTCGGTATTAGTGGTGTTACAAAAGTGAATAAGTACTTCACTTGATGTTCAGTAACACCAACACAAAAAATACAGTGTTCTTCCCTGCGTAACACCAACACAACAAGCAATACTGTGTTCTGACTGTATAAAACAACACAAGAAACATTATGTTCTTTTTGTGAAACACCAACACAACAAGAAATTCTGTGTTCTTAATCCACACACGACAACACAGGTAGAAATGCGATGTGCTGCTTTAACGTAAAAAAAACACACACACACACACACACAAAAACACGTTAAGCACATGTGATAAAGTTAACATTATGTGAGGGGCTGTAATTACCCTCTTGTAACCAACACTAAAAAAAAACTAACCCTAATTACATGTCATTAAACTGATATTACGAAGTTTGTGACCATTAACATTTTTTTTCTTCTATTATTCGAATTAATGTTTGGTGGTGGAAATTCGCGAGTAATTAACGTAGAATTGACGAAAAAAACAACTGTGGATTGTTCTAAAAAAAATGTATCTCTGGTGAAAAACTTTAGCTTCCAAACTTATTTCAGGATTATAAAAGTGACACATTGTGCTAATAGTCGATTTTGCTGGTTAATAACACATCAACAACAACCTAACGTTCTTGTGATAGCTTTAAATATGTGCGTGTGTGTACGTGTGTGTGTGGATGAGTGTGTGTGTGTGTGTCCAATCATATCCCTCCCCATAAAAAAAAATCCCTTCATTTTCTTTCATGTTATGCCTCACCACACATGCTCACCCCCTGGTACACCTACTTCCCAGCGAGATACATATTAATTTATCATATTATATAGTTAAAAGGCAGAAACACTTACGTAACAGACAAAGACACGGTTAAATACCCCCACCCCCACACACATGTAAAGACATACATATACACACACAGACACATGCCCCAATTGATCACGACTTTGAAACATTAAGTACTGTACAATAGCATAAACACAGTTAGTAATTTTCCAGTTAAAAATCAAGTTTAAATTGTGTAACTCAACGTGGGTCTGTGGGCGTGAGGGCGGGCGGGCGGTGCATGTGACGCCGTACTTTTCGTTCCCTGGACAGTGGTACAATGAATGCGGTTTACCAGCCCCTCAACAGTTAAAACATCCAGTGAGTGAATAACATTTACATAAGTAGAGACCTATGTGCAGGATACTCACTAGATAATATAAGCTTCCTACCTGCACTATTAATGTACACAAAATGCTGAACAACTATGCTGATTTTACTGAATATCTATCTATCTATCTATACTACATTACAATAATCATCTATGAATGACAACAGGACCATACCCGCCGTAGTCAAGAATCAATAGAGTATTATTTTTTTTTGTCCCGAAAACTTCCTACGTGAATCTTCTTATAAAATATAAAAGGAAGTTCAATTGCGTCACTATTTTTGACAGCGAAACATATAATTCCTACAGTTGGGCGATACAAATAAACCCTCTAAAAATATCAACACGGTAACTTGACAAAAAATGATAATAAATACAAAAATACCAACTCAATTAGCCGTAAAAGTTAATGAAAAAGAAATAGCCTAATTAGTCTATTCGATAGCATTCATTACCCACCTATTTCACTTAAGTTTATGGCAATTGGATAAACTGGTTCCTATATCCTGCTTATAATAAAACACTTATAGCAATGGACTTGTTATGTGGAAAGCGTAGTTATATAACGAAGAAGGGAACCAGGGAAAACACAAACATCTTGACTAAGTTGGGTCTCTTTAATCACGAACCTTCTCGAAAAAATATTTACCATCATCAGAACCTACTGTAGAAAACAAACAAAATTTTTAAATAATTACAGGTAATATACAATAAAAACGGAACGTTATTCTAAAGTTTACCTTCCGCAAAATTTTAAAGAGCATAAAATCTAAACTAAAATCCGTAAAACAACTAAAACACACAGAAGATATTACCTTAATTTAGACGAACCTTAATGAGAAAAACACAACAATTCACAGGAAGGCATAACACAAATGGATGGCTTTACTTTATATTGATACAAGGCTTCCATAATGAGGAAATCCGTCTCACAATTGTCCCTGCCAAGAACGGGAGAAAATCAGACTGTTAAAACGGGAGGTCATGCAGGAGAGACTGTAATGGCGGCCACGAAACACAAGCGCCGAGCTGATGTGGTTTTTGTTGTGTTCATAATTTACACCTTTGCCTTGATAACGTTACATTTAAAATAATATCACCGTAATTCTGATATAATTAAATATATTATAGGTGTTTCTTACCTTGATATGAGGGGGAGAAATATATCAATGAGAAGGAATTTCTTAATTAGATGATGATCGACGTCATACTTTAAAGCTTCGTCTTCTCCTGACTCACGCATTTAAATATCTAATGACGTCATCACGCTGTACGTTTAAAAACTATAGTCTTTCGTACAAATAAGTTCAATAAGTGAAAAATCAACTATTTCGTCGTGTGGTTTATAAATTTATTTATTTTTTATTTGTGCATATATTTTTTCTATGTTTATTAAACCTTCCTTCATTCCTTCCTGAACCTAAAAATTTATCGCGGGTTCCAAAATTTCAAGACACGACGTCAACACTTGCTAGATAGGCACAGCATTCACCATACCATTAACCATTACCATTATCCCTCCTCACACTCCCTCAAGACCTAATTGATTAATATTTAGAGAATTTAAACAAACAAGGTGGAATACAAACGCAGATTTCCTCGCAGAGACATGACGCAATAGATTGTACAATCGGAGTCTTTTAAAAAGTTTGTTCCCTCCCAGAATGAAGCGGCATCGACCCCATATGAGGTAACTCACTCAGGGTAAAAGTAATTCCCGTGACTCAGTTTCGCCACAGGGAGCGAAATTTTGCCCGCCTCTCAACACCAAAGTCTAAATCAAGGTAAATAAAGTATAGCTCCCTTAACTGGGCGGAAACTTAACCACACCCACGCTTGACGTCACACCACCACACGCCCCTCTATGCACAGACAACACACACACACACACACACGCACATATGCACGAGTACACATATACACAAGTACTTAAGAGCATTTGAGTACCAGAGAATATAAAGTGTATCTCGCTGTTATCACAAACGTTCGCTAACATCACTGACTCTCGTTACATGTGAGCCAGTCCCTCCCTCCACACCACCTACCCTCCTTCTCTCACCCCCTGCTTCCTTCCACACTACCTCCCCTCATTGTCTCACTCCCTGCTCCCCTCCACACTACCTCCCCTCCTTTCCTCCACACCACCTCTCTCTTACCCCACATTAAAATCAATACATGGCAACTGCGATAAGATATACCACGAAATTAAACTTATCTAAAGAGTGCCAACCTTACCCCCCAGTGCCTTCCCTACGGTGCAATGCTGAGGTTCTTGCTAGTGGCTGGCTTCCTGTGGTCGGGGTTAGTAGCTTCTCATATCCCCAGCCACCAAGAGAACACAGCAGCTTCGAACACCGTCTCGGATCACAGACACAGGAGAACTATCACACATGACCCTACAGAAGATAAGAACCAACTTACAACACCACAGGTTTTACAGAGTTTGGACACCCTCGTTCTTAGTCAGCTGAGTAAGTGTTGAGTTTGTTTACCTCATGTTAGTAGTGTTTATTGAAGTTGTTCGTGATAGATGTTGATTTTATGAACGTTTATTTTGATTTACCACGTACACAATGTAAGTTTATGTACGTAGATAAGTGTAGGTATACAAACAATGCACGTGTACATAGAGAGTATAGCTATATAGAGGACATAAACAGTGCACATAGACTACAGGTTAGCTTAGGTTAGGTTAGGTTATATCTTTGTTATCACTCTTGCTTCCAGAAACTAACACAATGCTTCAAGACTTATCCCAGACCTTCACTACCCACCTGAGGGACTACTCAGCTGCCACACAAGGTAAAGTTTATCTACCTCAGAGCTCAAGTACCTCAGCTAGTCTCCTTATCTGTGTTTTGTGGGCGTGATAAGGAGAGCAACATGCAGATAAGATCCCATATTCCTTCAAAATATATACAATCACAGACTCATGAACAAAATGAACAAAATGAACAAATTGAATTACCAAGATAATCAGCATTTAAATTATCTCTCAAGTGATCTACAATATTTCACAAATTATCAAAATAAAATATGATGTTCCCAGGTTTTTTTTGTTATTCTTCTCGTGTAAATATCACCCCCCACCATCCCCCCACCCTCCCCATCCCCCCCACCCTCCCTCCCTCTGGCTTATAGAAAAACAACAAACAACAACAAATCAATAACTGGGATTGTGTTGACAGAGGTTAAGTCAACGATAGAGGACTTGACCCAGGCGTTGTTTGTCCACCTATTGGAACACACTGAAGCCATAGAAGGTAATGTGTCTCAGTTAATGTGTCTCAGTTAATGTGTCTCAGTTATTGTGTCTCAGTTAATGTGTCTCTCAGTTATTGTGTCTCAGTTATTGTGTCTCAGTTATTGTGTCTCAGTGTGTCTCAGTTAATGTGTCTCAGTTATTGTGTCTCAGTTAATGTGTCTCTCAGTTATTGTGTCTCTCAGTTAGGTTTCTGGTGTGTGGTTTTATTGTTTGTCATATCCACTTCTAATAATAATTGCTATTGGCTGACCTGACACACTAAATGCTTACTATTGGCTGACCTGACACACTAAATGCTTACTATTGGCTGAGCTGACACACTAAATGCTTACTATTGGCTGAGCTGACACACTGAATGTTTACTATTGGTTGACCTGACACACTAATTGCTTACTATTGGCTGAGCTGACACACCAAACGCTCACTATTGGCTGATCTAACACACCTTTATGGCAGATAACGAACACAGCAACACCACCCAAGACCTGACGCAGGAAATTGAAGACCTCGAACATACGGTTCTACAGCAAGAGGCCCAACACCAGATGACTCGACAAACTCTAGAACAACAAGAGGAGACGATACAGAAACAGCAACAAATATTAGACAACCAAGAGGAAATAATTCAAGTAAAGGAAGATTCCATACAGAAGTTAAGAGAAGAGAGTGATATACTAGGGAGAGAAGTTGATGTAGGGAAGTGGGAGAAGCGTCAAGTGGTAGAGGAACTTCGTAGGATGAAAGATGAACATAATGAACAACTGGAAGAACTATCAACTGAGTTACAGAGAGTTAAAGTGAGCCACGAGAGTTGTATGTCCCGAGTACAAGAATTGGCGGAAACTAAACAAGAGATCACTAACCTTCAACAGTTTGTCCATAGCCAGAGAGATGTTATCCGACGGTTTCAGGAAGATATACTACGTCTTACTGACCAGAAGGACAACCTCGACCAACAACTAAGGGAATGTCACCAGGATATGGCAGATAATAGGGACTGCTCGGACAACCATCACCACCACGGACGCCATTGTACCAACCTCACTCAAACAGACACATCAAGGTTAGTATATATATATATCCATCCTATAATAATAATGTTCAAAATTAACCATGGCTACACAACATTTAAAAAAAATATATGCTATGTTATAATCAGATCCCCCAAAAAAAAAACAACATTCCATTATATTTTTGTTACGCTATGTGGAAAAAAATGACTCCAAAACAATATGGAAGTCACGTGGTATTGTTATTGTTGTTCTATTTACAGAGTGAGGTCCTATCAATATTATCCCCACGTGCATGAAGCGAGCACTGCATAGGATATATATTATTTCCCGTTCACCGACAGGATTTGGGGATAAATTAAATACGTGCTTTGTAAAGTGATCTATGTTTTCTGTTTTGGCTAGATTTGTTTAGTTTGGGCTAGATTTGGTTAGTTTAGGCTAGAATTGGTTAGTTTGGGCTAGATTTGGTTAGTTTAGGCTATATTTGGTTAGGTTAGGCTAGATTTGGTTAGTTTAGACTAGATTTGGCTAGTTTAGGCTAGAATTGGTTAGTTTGGGCTAGATTTAGTTAGTTTAGGCTAGATTACATTAGCTCAGGATTGATTAAATTCGGTTTGATCACCGTGAGGGATTTTAACCAACAGATGAAATAACCTAAGAGGTGTCTAATCTTCACATGATCCCTTCCCCCCAAAAAAACTGACTACTCTCCTTAACATCATCACTATTGAAGCACCAGACGAACCCCTGCGGTAGATTGTGAGGATTTCGTATCGCGGGGCATGAATGATAGCGGCGTGTTCCTCATCTTTCCCAAGCAGTGAGTACAAGAATTAGTATTACATTTCATAAGTGTTATATTGGTTGTAAAAGTATATGTGTATATAAGTATTTGTAGTAAAAGTATATGTCAAATTATTACTTGTAGTGCAGGTATACTGTATATGTTACACCTTGGTCACTGTGATGCTACTGCTCAAAATATTAATGGTGTGTGTGTGTGTGTGTTCAGGTCGCCATCAGGAGTGAACGTCTACTGTGAGTTTGAAGGAGGTAAAGCCTGGACGGTGTTCCTAGCTCGTCGCCAACACACACCACAAGAGAACTTCACTAGACCTTGGCGAGACTACAGAAATGGCTTCGGAAATCCTCTTGGCGAATATTGGTTGGGTAAATACATCTTCTTCTTCAATAAATTCTATGTTTTTTGGGTATATAAGTCCAGATATCTAACCTAACCTAACCTACAGGGAATGATAATCTACATGCATTGACGGATAGAGAGACGAGATACCAGCTGAGGGTAGTGGCGAGAAGTCTAGAGGGAGTAGAGCGATCTGGCGAGTGGCAGATGTTTAGCGTCCGTGATGAGACCAGCAGGTAAAGTGTGGATATACCTGTGTCACCTCACTCCTGGGTGCTGTTATGTTATATCATGTTAGTTATATCATGTTAGGTTATATCATGTTAGGTTATATCATGTTAGGTTATATCATGTTAGGTTATATCATGTTGTGTTATATATTGTCGTGTTATCCTCTTTCATGCCACACCCTCTCGTCACACCCTCATATCACACCCTCTCGCCACACACCCTCTCACCACACCTTATCTTAATGAACCAACATCTACCTTTCCTTCCCCAGGTATCAACTCAACTTGAATCAATACGTCACGACCAGCCAACTCGGTGACGCTCTACAGTACAGTGACGGCATGACCTTCACTACAATGGACAGTGACCACGACGCCTGGCCCCATGGTAGTGAGTATGACCTGTGGGTGGTTTGACTTCACCTTCAGTAGCCTTCAGTAGTACATGTGTTAATGATGATTCACCTTTGAGTATCATATAGTTAGTTCGGATCACCTGATGATTAAAATTAAACCACCTTAATGCTATATATATATACTTAGAGGGTTAGGTTAGGTTAGGTTAGGTTAGGTTAGGTGACGGTGCGAGTATTGATCTAATCATCACAACAGACTGTGCGGCGTTCACTGGAGGAGGTGGCTGGTGGTTCAGGAGCTGTAGTGACGCCCTTCCCACCGCTCCCCTCAGCAAGTATGGTGACGAAGACGACACTACATTGTCCTGGAAGATATTTTCACCTTCAGGGCCTTCTGCTGTCACCCTGTCAGAGATCAGGTTCATGGTTCGCCGGCAGTGTAGTGGAAGGTGTTAAGGGATTTGTTGTTTATGTTGACGAAATCGATTTTGTAGGAATATACGGATCACCTTAAGATTAGACACCCCGGATTATTGCCTCTTAAAAGACATCTAATGATAACCTAACCTAACCTTTAACAAGCCTAATCTAACCTAACCTAATCTTTAACAAACCTAATCTAACCTAACCTAACTTTAACAAACCTAATCTAACCTAACCTAACCTTTAACAAACCTAATCTAACCTAACCTTTAACAAACCTAATCTAACCTCACCTAAACTAATCTAACCTAACCTTTAACAAACCTAATCTAACCTCACCTAAACCAATCTAACCTAACCTTACCTAAACACCCCCAGGTAGTGTTAGGGTGATTAATCTTCAGGTGAAATAAACTGAGGTGTCAAATCGTCAGGTTGTTTTTGAGTTGAATAAATGTTAATAAAATCGAATAAGCAAAATTTAATTACCCTAAGTTGGAGGAATGAGTGGGGGTGAGGGAGAGGAATGAGTGGGGGTGAGGGAGAGGAATGAGTGGGGGTGAAGAAGAGGAATGAGTGGGAGGTAGAGAGAGGTGTTTCAGTGTACCTCTTACCATCGTTCCATTATCACTTTATCGCCTATCATCATCTTTATCAATAGTTCTTCCACACTCCTTCCCTTGATTCATATTGTTTTGATTCATGATGCAAGCCTGTGTCGTGATTCATATTGTTTTGATTCATGATGCAAGTCTGTGTCGTAGTCAGCTTAAGAACCCCGGCTGTCGTGTCTCCATAATACATAACGTGTATATTGAGTTATACATATTGATACAGGTGAGTTATACATATTGATACAGATATACATATATTTCTTCACGCGGCCACAGGTGTTGCTGGTAATTATCGATGATATATGAATACAGAATTTAATGTATTCCTGATCGTATAGAATTATAAAAGGTATAGCGAAATACAACTAATAATATATACAAACATAACTGAGAATATATACATAGTGATTTGTTTATATAAGAAATTCCATGTATAGGCTACTTCTGTATACAAAGACAGACATACACACACATACACATGCCCATATACACAAACACGTACCCTAACCTAGCTTAACCTAAGTTACCCTAATCAACTCCCTAACCTAACCTAACACCCCCAGGTAAACATCAGGGTGGTTAATATTCAGGTGTAATAAGCTAGGGTGTCTAATCTTCATGTCAACCACAACAACTATACTATCTACTTACTCAATTCCTTCATCTCCATCACCAACTCTTCCTTCTCTCTTACGTTATCAATAAAAACAATAACACCGCCACACAATAGACGATCACCTGTTAAACTTTCACTAAACAGATAAATTATTGGTGGAAAAGTAGACAGCTGGAGTGAGAGAGAAGTTTGCATATGTGAGAGATATCATCGTGTGTGTGTGTGTGTGTGTGTGTGTGGAGGAAGATATATAAGTTTCGTTCCTCATTTCTCGCCACAGAACTCAACCCACCGGTCAGGTAAGGTAGGCACTCTGTAAGCACTCTGGAAGGGGTTAAGAGAGAGAGGACCCAACTCCTTCGATCACCAGGGAAGGAAAATATTACGTGAGGATTAGAGCCATGACGTCACAGAAGCCCTTCCTCAGGATAGCTGCAGGAGAGGTACTGATATAGATCCTTCGTTTGTTCTTCATCCCTCACCTACAGGACCCGATCACGACCCTTAGCCCCTTCCTACGACTCCCAGCCCTTACCATGACCCACACACCTGACCCTACATAACCCTATCAAGACCCTTACCCCATTCCCACGACTTCCACTCCATACCACGACTTAGCCCCTCTCCACGACCCTCACCCCTCCCTACGACCCCCACCCAAACCCCCCACATATCAAGACCCTTACCCCTTTCCCACGACCCCCATCTCCCCCAGTTAACGTTAGGGGGACTACACCTGATGTGATCCAAGAAGTGTTTGATGTTACCCCCCTCCCCCCTGTACTGTGTTCCCGAGGCTCTATATAACCTTGTGTCGCCAACAGTGGATCCCATACACCAAGATCCTCACACAAGATGGCGGGAACATCACGGTGGAAGGTCCCATGAAGTTTGTGCTGGACATATTTGCCAAGATGATTAATTTTGAGTAAGTAATGTACAGTACGTCTTGTGTGTGTGTGTGTGTGTGTAACATCCAAAAGTAAACAAATACCCAGTACCCCTTACATGCTACTGTACTGACGTCATCACTCCCTCCAGCACCCCTTTACACGCCACTATACTGACGTCATCACTCGCTCTACACACAGTTACGAGCTCGTTCCTGCCCCGGGTAATAAGTGGGGGGCGCCTCTGGCTAACGGGTCATTCTCCGGCATGATGGGACTACTGCAGCGGGAGGTAGGTGCTGCCCTCTACTGTCTCTTGGTTTATAGACAGGATGGTATCATGTCAGAGGTGGGATAGACGGGTTAGGTGTCATGTCACAGCTGGGATAGACGGGTTTTGGTGTCATATCCCAGCCAAGATAAAGAGATTTGTGTCACATGATAACTAATCCGTGTTTCAGGAGGTGGAGCTGGCCATTGCGCCCTTCTTCGTCACGCCGCCCCGGGAGACAGCAGCCGACTTCTCTGAGCCGGTCTACTACGACAGCTACGCCATCCTTATGGTGAGGCCAGAGATAGTGAACGACATGTCTGGCTTCCTCAAACCCTTCGCACCTACGGTAAGTTAAGTAATTAGGGTTTACCTGAAGATTGACCACCCTTTAGTGTTAATCCAACCTAACCTAACCTAATGCTAACCTAACCTACTCAATCACAATAATAACATAGTAACTTAATGATGTATGTATGTGTGTGTGTGTGTGCGTGTGTTATCCACATTACCAACAGTCATACGGACATAATCAACACAGGTAACTCGGCCCTACAGGTGTGGTTGATGATCGTGTTGAGTTTGTTGTGTATGACGGTGGCCATGAGTCGTGTGGCCAGATACGAGGAGGTGGTGGTGTTCTCCCTCCCGGCCACCACCACCTGGGCCAAGGCCACACTATGGGCCATCCAAGCATTTAGCCAAGAAGGTCAGTACTGAGTGATGAGTTTCTGTTTATATCAAGGTGAGGTTTATACACACACTGGTTGAACATTTGAAGTGAACATTTGAACATTGTTATTAATTTCTTGCATTTTTTTTTCAAGACTAAGTGAAGACCAGGAAGAGTAGTGATGATGGTCCCGTCCACACACACACACACATCTCTCGTCCATTCTTCTTCAGGTTCTCACTGGCTGCCTAGGAAACACGGTGGCCGCCTGCTGGTGTCGACGTGGCTGATGGCTTCCCTCGTCTTTATGTCTTCCTACAGCGGGATCCTGACGGCCATGCTGACGGTGCCACGGGTCAACATCCCTATAGACTCTCTTAAGGACCTCGTGGCCCAGTCTGACCTGCCCTGGCGGATTGAGGCGGATTCATTCATGTATAATTTCTTCTTGGTGAGTAACGTGTGTGTGTGTGTGTGTGTGTGTGTGTGTGTGTGTGTGTGTGTGTGTGTGTCAATACTGTTGTTGTTCACTTTATATCACATTAGCTATATGAATTATATTATTGCTCGATTTGTATATGTATTATTTTGCCTATATAAACTAATTCAATGTCAAACACCTGCAGAAGGCGGAGGACAACCTACGTCAGGGAGTTTTCTCTAAGAAGGCCGGCACCTTCCAGGACTGTTGGGCGGACCGTCAGGCTATAGCAGACGGGGAGTTCGCTGCCATCTGTGACAGGATCACCATGATGAAGGCCATGTCTTGGGACTTCAGGTAAGGCGGGAACACTCTATAGAATCCTGACACTTTGATGACTTTAATGAGTGAAAGGACGTGTCAGACATCAGGTGTCAGGTATCAGGTGTCGTGTATCAGGTGTCATGTGACGTAGAGATAATTTAAAGACTGTGTTTCAGTTTGTTAATCATCGGGTGAAATAATCTTGGGGGTGGTTGACGAAAATCTCCAGGTAATCCCAGATTCCTTAAGTTCATTTATGAATTATTTTCACTTTCTTAATAATTCTCAAATAAAAACAACTAAATCACGTCATCCTTCTTCACCTACACAGCACAACAGGACGGTGCCATTTGTACATCTCGAGGGAAAAGGTTTATGACAACGGGTACCTGTCCATTGCCTTCAAGACCAAGTCCAAATACCTTCCAGCGGCTAACAAGATGTAAGACCTTTACCTGGTAACTGGTGTGGGCGGGGGAGGGAGTGGGGTGGGTGGTGTGGTAGGGATTGGAGAGAGAAAATGGGTTGTCGGAGGGAATGGAGTGTGGGAGGGAGTGGTGAGTGTAGAGAGTGGGGTAGGTAGGGTGTGGGTGAGAGTGGAGAGAGAGAGAGAGAGAGAGAGAGAGTAGAATATCAAAGGGAGTGAAGAGGTGTGAGGTTGTAGGAAGCCAATTACCATGATCATTTTCACGTGAGGAACAAGATAACCTCACCACACCTCACCTCACCTCACCTCACCTCACCTCACGTCACTTCACAGCATCAAGACCCTGAAGATGACGGGACACCTCAACAAGTGGCTGGCCGACCAGATCACCAACACCACCCAATGTCTTAAGCCACCCTCAGCTGATATAGGGGCCGGCATCTCACCACTCAGCATAGAAGCTTTTTCCGGCCCTCTCCTCGTCTTACTGACAGGTGAGGTCAACTGAGGTCAAGCGTCATTAATTATCCCCCCCCCACCCCCAATGACAGGTAAAATCAATTCAGTTTAGTTTTCTTATCGAGTTATTATTTGATATTAAACACTGATAAATTTCTCTGAGTGGAAAAGTAAGTTTGTGGATTCGTGTTAAGTTGTGGAAATTACTCGTTAATATTTGACACTCAGGGGAAAACCCTATTTACCTCAATATCAAAGTCCAGTCGGTATCATTTTTCTGCCTAATTTTCCACCAAGTATCGTGGCTGCATTAATGATTTCGTTCACCTGAGAAAAATATTAACAACACACACACACACACACACACACACAAACACACACACACACGTCTATGGTCAAATTTACGATTCTCAATTCACTTTTTATCTCTTGACGGTAGGTTAGGTTAAGTTAGTATAAGGTAAGGTTAGGCTAAGTTAGATTAGGTTAGATAAGGTTAGGTTAGGGTGCTTAATCATCAGGTGAAACATACCGGGGTGCTTAATCTTCACATGATCCCACATTTATGCCATTTTCGCACTCATAAACAAAATATTACCATATATAAAAACCGAAACATTAATATTTCATCTCAAATTCATGTTATATAATACTGTCAGAGTTAATTCGTTTGGACATAAAAACATACACACGGACCTTTTTATGTTGTTAAATATATAGGTATTGTATGAATGTTGTTGTTAGTTTTATTGTATTGTATTTACATGCAGCAACAATTAAGGAATGTATGCTAGGTGTCATTGTTGTTCTTGCTATTTTTGTTATTGTTGTTCTCACCATCGTCATTATAGTTCTTATTATTGTTATTATTCTTATTACTGTTATTATTATTGTTATTATTATTATTATTGTTATTATTGTTCTCTTTATTGTTATTATTGTTCTTGTTATTATTGCTCTCACCATTGTCATTATAAGTTCTTGTTATTACTATTATTACACCTAACTTTAACAGATAAGATCTTTAAAACAACGTAAAACAAGAGTCACTTCCAATACACTATAGCGAGACCCACTTCACTCTATCAACAGGTCTGACCATGGGCGGAGTGGTCTTGGTGGCTGAACACTTGATGAAGCTCCTTGACTGAGATAAGAGAGTTCCTTCGGGGCCCACTCACCTCCTGAACACTGATACTACAAGATAACACGATAAGGATCTCCCCCCTCCCCCTCCCTCTTACATCCCCTCACTTCCCTCTCACCCACCCCCCTCCCTCCTATATTCCTGTATAAACTATAGGAACTTTCTTATATATGTGGTTCTTATATGACTCAACAGTTGACTTTATATCGATGTATAATTTGCATAAGTATATATAATAATGTACCAGCAATAATATACGAATGAGTCAATTATACCAAGGTAACTGCTGGCTATTGAGTCATTATTTCATATATAATACGTATTATAGAGTGTTACTGAAAGCCAAAATTATTACCCAAATTAGAGATTTATTCATATTTCTTCGGACATTATCAGAAGAATTATATTAATAAGTTATATATATCGTGATTAATTCTGTTAAAAAGCTAAAATACCAGTTATATTTTTCCTTATATCATTTTATATCAGAATTATTGTAAGCCTTTATCTACGTCATTATCTAATAAGTATTGTGATAAGTTAAATACACTGTTATGCTTTATATACTTGGGCGGTCAGTTATGCCTCTGTTATACGCACTGTTGGCAAGTACTGGGCATGCACCGACTCCTGAATACGTACACAATGGTTTATACTCATCCTGTACCCATAGATGCCCAGTTTCATTCCTGTCTATGTGTAATAAATATGTGCACGAGTAACTTTCCTTTATTTTATCACTCTCTCTTTCTGATCTATTAGTTTGTTCATAATTTACTGACGGGGAAATACATGAATGACGTCAGCCACAACACAATACTTTGCAAGATTAATATAACGATTCATAAACGGCAAAATATGAAGTCCACGTCACAATGAAGTTCCAGTGTATAGAAATTTGTTATAGATTCTACATATCAAAATAATGACTAACCTAACCTAACCTTATCAAAATAATGACTAACCTAACCTAACCTTATCAAAATAATGACTAACCTAACCTAACCTACAGCACCCTAACGTAACCTTCAAGGAGTTTAATCATCAGGTAAAACTAAGATACAGGAACACTTACCACCAATCATCACTATAGCCTTACCCCCCACACACTCTAGCTCTGCTTCCAGGTGTTGTACAGTAACACAGGTGTGATGCGTGTCTCTTTAGGTGACGTGAAAATGTATTTACTCGGCGAATTTGTTAGGGAGGAAAAAGCCTTTTATCCCTAATTTTATTTTTACCTCGTGGGTTAAATCAAACACACACACACACGCACACACACACACACACACACACACACACACACACACACACACACACACACACACACACACACACACACCTCCTGGTTAACACTCCTTTAAACTATACTCTATTGGGTGAGTCTCCAGGAACCATTACTATTGACATTACAACGTGAATAAGGTAGATAGATAGATAGATAGATAGAAGATAGATAGATAGATAGAAGATAGATAGATAGAGAGATGTCTAAGTATGAGTTAACCATCAGGTAAAATAAGCTAGGGTGCCTAATCTTCAGGTCATCTTTTAAATTGGAATCAGAGTAAACAAAAACTCACCTGAGCTGCCTTACCCACACTATACCCCGAGAGAGAGAGAGAGAGAGAGAGAGAGACATGAAGGTGAAAACGTCAATGAGAGAGAGAGAGAGAGAGAGAGAGAAAGAGAGACATGAAGGTGAAAACGTCAATGAAGAAACTTGGACATGAGGAAATTGCAAAGTTTGTCAGTGAAGTGTAAAATGAGACATAGGATATTTTTCACCGAGTATTTTTGTTTTTCACTTTTTGGTAATATTGGAACTGGAGAGTTTCCTTCCTTCACCTGTGTGTGTGTGTGTGTGTGTGTGTGTGTGTGTGTGTGTGTGTGTGTTAACTCTTAAAGTAAGGTATGCAGAAAATGGTCAAGGTTAGGTTAAGTTAGGGATAGAAAATATAGGAAATGTTGGAGCCTTGAGGAGAGTGCTATAGAGAGCGTTGGGGGAGTGTTGGAGGAAGTGTTGGAGGAAGTGTTGGAGGAAGTGTTGGAGGAAGTGATGGAGGAGAGTGAGTGGGTTTAGCTTATGTTGGGCGTGAGTAAGTGGTGGTGTAAGGCGGAGGATCAACACCCGGAGGAGCTGTGGTTGGCCGCCCACTGATCGCTTGATTTATGAGGTGACGAGGAAGGTGGTGGTGGTGGTAGATGGTGGTAGTGCTGGTAGGCGAAAGATAGTGGTGGTAGTGTTGGCATTTAATAATTCTTTAAGCGCGTGTTTGTTTTCTTAAACCTAGCCTAATGTAATCTAATCTAATCTAACCTAACCTAACCTAACCTGACCTAACCTGACCTAACCATAACCTAATCCTAACCTAATCCCTCCTCCAGGTAGCGTTAGGGTGTTTAATCATCAGGTGAAATAAACTGGGGCTAATCTTCAGGTGATCCAAGTTTTCTTCAAAGTTTTATTAAGACTTTTAATCAACCTTAAACGACTGGAGAAAAACACCTGACACACACACACACACACACACACACACGAAACAGTACATTAAGGAAATACCAATACCCATAACACTACTTCCTCTGTCTAAAAAAAAAAAAAAAAATCCTCACCTCGCGCCTTTACCTAATACGCCTTCAGTTCCTCACCCTGGTCGTCGTCCACTTTCTTCTCGTTGTTGTTCTCTCTTCTACAGCGACTCCGGCAGATTTACTCCAGATGCAGGACGCCACTACAACAAAATATTAACTATGAGTGGAAACAGTTCAAAAAGAGAGGTAGAACGAGGAAGACTCACCGATTTACCTTCTGTTAAACGAAATAGAGAGTTGGAGGAATGAAAATGTGGATATTGTTTTTTAGTGGTCGGGGCGGAGGCAGTGTACCATCGTTACCCGCCCTCTTCCCTCCCCTCTCGGCAGCTTGAGGGGAATACTGAAGACGGAGAGTTTCCCCGTCGGGTGTTGGAGACTATAAGAGAAAACGGAGTAAGGGATAACTAATACAATTCCTATAGTAGTTTTTTGCTGTATTTTTTTCCTTTTGTCTATCAACACGAAGCTTACTGTAGTCTATTCTTCCTTTAGCGAGTATAAATATGATAGAAAGTTCCCATTTTTCCTCCTGTTAGCGAACGCCCCAAGCCACTCATACCTGGGAATCGTTATCCACGTTGTCGTAAAATAATAACCAAACCACAACAACTCAGGTATTGCCAATTATGGACGGATCACTTCCATGGCCTCCTAGACTTTAATAGTAATACCTCCACATCATTTAGGAAATTGGTAGTAATTTGACATTATGGAAACGAGCGAGTGATAACCTCTCATCGGGGACCCGGAGATGCATTAATGACGAATACAGTCTGAGATGAAGTCGACAATTTATTCTTTTATCTTATACATCAGAGTTATACAGTAGATGTATTGTTTCTGTATTCGTATATTGTAGTGATGAAGGTTGGTATTTTTTGTACTCTGTTTGTACTTATGTTGTATAATATCCTGTAATTCAACTAATGCTCTTGGTGGTATTTTTAAAGTGTGTATTATTGAATGTAATCTTAAATATTTTTGTCATATTATTATTATTATTTTTACGGCAATATTATTTAAGTATGTACGTTACTCACAAGATGCTTCCTGTACGTGATTTATTTAATAAACTGACTCTACCTTATAGTATATGTGAACAGCATACACCTGATACCTGATATCTGCCACTATGAAAACTCAGGTGTAGAGAAAATCATATCTCCTCAAGCGACTGTTCATTACCGGCTCAGCTCTGTGTGTGTGTTTGTGTGTGTGTGTGTGTGTGTGTGTATACAAAACACTATGTACAATACACATGAACGAATACATATACGTATCATAACATTCATGAAAACACGTACAAACAAGTAAATAATATCAAATTGTTAACACATCAAAGTTAAAACATCACAGAGGTCTAAAAAAAAAAAAAAATATATATATATATATATATATATATATATATATATATATATATATATATATATATATATATATATATATATATATATATATATATATATATATATATATATATATATATATATATATATATATATATATATATATAAAGATGAGTGACCTTAATGATGGCGTAGGAATCCCTCATTCGTAACAATTTTCCAAAGTTCGGTTAAATCCAGCAAAATTGGATGATTATCTTAGTAAATGGCAGCAATGGAGGCGATTTTTTAAGATAAGTGTGATTGAAGTGAACTGATAACAGGTGTGTGTGTGTGTGTGTGTGTGTGTGTGTGTTTGTTTGTTTCTCTTTGACGTGAGGGAGAATTTTTTTCGCCGAAGATGATTTTTTCTGTGTTTATGTCATGAACCCAGAAAAGTGGTCATTTTCATACCCAGAGGTCAAAGGTCATGTTTATACCCAGAAGGTCAAGAGGTCATACACACACACACACACACACACACGCAACTTGTGGCTGGTGTTTTAGTATTTTTTTACCCTTGTGATAAATGGGTGTTGGTGAGAGTAATTACCAGGACTACAGGGAGAGGGGAGAGAGAGGGGAGAGGGAGAGATAGAGTTATGGGGAGAGGGGAGAGTGAGGTGGAGAGAGAGAGAGATAGAGTTATAGGGAGAGGGGAGAGTGAGGTGGGAGAGAGAGAGGGAGAAGGAGAGGGAGAATGAGTGGGAGAGTAAAGGGAGGAGAGGGGGGAGTAAGGAAGAGGGAAGGAAGGGGAGAGGGGGGCAAAGGAGAATAGGAGAGAGGGCATGAGAGTTGGGGAGGATTGAGGAGTTAGGGAGAGAGGGGAGAGGTGTACGAGAAAAAAGTAGTAGTAGTAGTAGTAGTAGTAGTAGTAGTAGTAGTAGTAGTAGTAGTACCGCATGATTCACCTCCTTAATTTAACCTAATCTAACCACACTATACCTGAACCTAACCTAACCTAACCACACATAAAACAGTTAATGTATAAGTATAAACCATGAGATCTACGACTGTTAAGTGTTGACTGGTATAGAAGCTTCATTCAGGATGGCTTAAGAGTGCCTCAATCCTTAACTCCTTCGATCTTTGTGTTATTTGAGTTACTGGCAATATCCATCATCTATGACCCGCCCTTCACAATATCCTCAACGATTAAGGAAGAGTTAACAGAAAAGGGCAGAGTGGTCGAGAGGGAACTAGTTGATAGGAGTAACGAGGAGGAAGAGGAGGGGGAGGAAGAGGGGGGGAAGAGGAGGGGGAAGAGGAGGAGGAGGAAGAGGGGCAGGAGGAGGAGGAGCATTTAGCTGAGAAAGGAAATAAGAGAGAGAGATGAGAATAACAAGATAAGAAACACAGGGCCGATAAATATGGAATACCGTATACAGGCCACAGACGAAGACAAAGAAGAAACGATAAAGAAGGAAATGGCGATGATGATGATAGAGTAAACGGAGAAATAAAAATCTCATTCCATTGCCATTAAAAGTAATTAATTAGGGAATAAATAGAAAATATAAAGAAGAAAGAATACGTGAGAATAATAACTAAGAATAGAAGGAGTAAAGGGGAGAAGAAGCATAAACAGATGGTAAAGAGGAAGGGAGAGGGACTGATGAAAAGGGAATAGAACATAATAAGGAAATAAATAAAGATATGAACAAGAGAGAAAGACAAAGAGTAGTTAACGCTGTGTGTATGTATGTGCGTGTGTGAGTGTGTATATGTGTGTGCATGTGTGTAACTTGAATGTACGTGTTAGTGTGTACATTATATGTGTGTAATAATGCGTTTAAATTTATGTGCGTATATTAGCGTGCATGTGTGTAATATGCATGAGTGCGAATGAATATTTGTCATTCTAAATGTGCGAACATGTACACGTGGAAATGTGTGTGTGTGTGTGTGTGTGTGTGTGTTGGCATGAATACAGTAATGGCGGGTATATTAAACAAATAAAAAATACATAAATGAAAACAACCAAGAAATAAATCGTATGTAAATAAAAGAGATAAAAGATAAAATGACTGCCGCATACAGACAGACAGACCAGAGGGGCACTATATCTCTCTTATACTCGTAGTGGGGAGTAAAAACGTATACAAATTGGTTTAATAATCTGCTGTTGGTCGCTGGTCATAAATCTATCACTTATGACAAAAAACACTGTACTCTATATACTGCAAATAACTAACTAACAAACTATAGCTAAAAGCTGTGTGTACGACTGTTGTTATTACCCCGTGTACTGTGAACCCAATTAACACCAACGATAAAAATAATAGTAACAATAATAATAACAATAATGATTAAATAATAACAATAACATCAACGACAATAATTACCTAACTTAAACACCAGAACTACAATATATGAACTGAAACTTGTACACAGAAACATATATAAAAATAAAAATACTGCTATATAATTCTGCTAAAGAGAAATGCCAACTTTGCTCAGTTATACGGTATAGCCACATGATGTAAAGTGACTTTTTTAGGGGGGGTGGCTGGGTGATGGGGAAGGGTGGCTGGGTGATGGGGAAGTGGCTGGGTGATGGGAAGGGGGGTGGCTGGTGATGGGAAGGGGGGGTGGCTGGGTGATGGGGAAGGGAAGGGTAATATATACACAATGGTATTAAAACGAGAATGAACACAAACAATATCAACTGAAATATGTCAACAACGCCACGGGGCTAAATGATGAAATATTTTGAGGGCACTGGTTATTCAAAGGGTAAAATGCCTCAGTATGTGTGAGTTTGTGTATGTTTGTATATTTACTGTATATATAAATAAAAAAAAAGAGACTAATTGCCACATAATAGTCTATCTACTGTAAACGAGAACTTAGGTCTTTAATATGTATACTAAGTTAGTTAATTAATAAAAAAGACTAGCGATGTATTATTTCAAAGAGAGAAAGAACAATTATCTACCTCCCAGCAACACTTATGTCCAAATGATTCTATATGTTTAATCGTTTATGGTGAGGACTGATAAAGCTACCAGCATTGACTATAATGATATGAAATCTATAGCCTATAAGATTTGATGGTAATTATTCTTACCATCGTGAAAATTAGTTTTAAAATACCCAGTTTTGACTTATTTTATTTGAGGATACTGTATTATATTGGGGACGATATAAAAATGGCTGAAATAATGTACTAACTTAACCTAACTTAAATTAACCTCCTACATTATACCATCCATATTCTATAGAACTAGTGAAAATTAAGACTAATGTACAAATGGAATAATAATAATAATAATAATAATGCTTATTTGTTGTTTCAGATGATATTCTATGAACGAAATTATGGTCTGTCTTAATTTTTAAGGTTGATGTCAAGTGTATTTATTAAACTCTGCATTTAAAGATCTTAGTTGTTAAAGGGCAGATGAATAATCGATATAACACCAACAACACAATATAACATACATGAAGCAGCTAAAACTCTACAATGGCCGAACTCTGGGGCAGGTCTGCTCGCGCGCCTGTAGGCTACCTTACTGCATTTCACACCACATGCCTAAACAAATTGATAGACTTATTACAAACAAGTGCAGTTTATTGTATAGTTAAATAGTATGCATATAGATTGGTTAGAATGTTTCTACTATAAATTAATCCACTGAACTGGTATCAACTGTACCGTAGACAAAACTCCCAAGAACAGAGACCCTACACAGTTCACCGTCAACCTGCCCGCCTCTAGTGGGTGCTATTATATAAATAAGTTATCTAATTCTCTTTTGACAGTAATATGTAGCTCCCTGAACTTATCACGCACTATGCTACAATAACTATTCTCCCGCCACTATTTTACTTACCAGGAAGAAGTTATATGAACACGTTGAAGGTTGCCATCATGGGACCACTCCTTACACACCACCACAATGTATACGGGCCTAAATATTTTACAACATGATCACAATATTATAAAACTACTGTATTATTGTCATGTACTTTTATTTTTAAATACGAAGACAATATTATACAGTTAATGACGCCCATCTGGAAGTTCTTTACAATAATATTTGTAAAAAATGAAGCTGTCACTAGGTTCAATACTGGCCACCAACTAAATAACATTGTGTTTTACTGGGTTAATAGGTAGTAGTTGCAACAGCTAGATATATATTGAGTTTTATATAGGCGAGATAGAGGGAAAAAATATTCTATAGCGATTTCATCGCAAATTTATATTTTTCAAGTACTGTATTTTAACCAATGATACCCCCCCCCCCCTTCCCCAATTACCAAGAATATTGGTTGCTCAAAGAGGGCAGGGCTTTGAAGTCGAGGGAAAATGTGGGGTAAAATACTAAAAACACCACCAAATATACCTTCAAAATCCTTACCTAACCTTTCCTAATTTGTAAAACCTTAAACTATAAGTTTACCTTATTTGCATTTTTGGTGTTATTGTAGTGGCTCCTCTCCCCTACAACTTCCAACTGAGCTCTGGCCGCGCGCCTACCAGCCAATCAGCGTACAGCGAATCGAATCGAAAAATGCTAGTGACAGAGGGGAAGGAGGTTCAGGGGAAGAATAAAGGGAGGATTAAAGTGAATTTTAGGAGGAGAGAATAGGTGCAGTGGCTAAACACCGCTTGCGTGAGGGAGTATAAGTTGGAGGCAGCAGCAACTCGCCCGGACGCGGCCAGGAGGCGACAGGACAGAGTCAGGCTAGCGTCAGGTCAAGCGCCAGGTGCGTGTTGGGTTGGGCCTTGGATTCTCAGTGCTTGGTCGGCTTGATTGTGTGTGTTGTTTTCTTGTGTGGAGGAAATGTCTTGGTCTTCTTTCTTGGTATTCTTCTTAGCTTGATGTAGATTTTCTTCTAACTCTCCTCCTCGTCTTGCTCTCTTGAAGTGTCCATTCGTTCGTGTTTGGGTCTTGTTGTTCGTCTTCCTCGTGTCTTAAGTCTTCATAGGTGTTGAAGAAGTCGGAGACGGTGAGGTTGACCACGTGGGCTTCAGCTCCACGGGCCTCGTGGTGTTCTTGATTCTGTGTGGCGGGTGTCTTTTCTTGTGTTTTCTTTTCTTGGGTTTTCTTTTCTTGGTTTTTCTTTTCTGCTGGTTTTTTCTTGTCTTGGGAGCGTACAGCAAGGAGGGCCTCTTTGTAGCTCAGTTTCTTGTCGAGTCGCGCCTTGGCTATCCTGCATTCCTCCTTCCATTTTGGGCAGGTTCGATCGGCGGAGGAGTGTGGGCCGCCACAGGCAGCGCATTTTTTTACTGTGTTGGGGCAGACAGTGTAGCGGTGTCCGGGGTTGCCGCACAGGGAGCAGGTGTCCTCTTGCGCCTCACACTTGTTGACCGTGTGTCCGTAGTGCTGGCATTTGTAACAGCGTTTCGGTCTGCAGTAGGGCTTGACTGGCACAGTTACCCACGCCAGTTGAGCCTCCTTGAGTAAGGTTGTATGGTGTCCGACGAGGGCAGTGGTGTCGGACAGCTTCTTCACAACTTGGAGTTGCCCCTTGAGGAGTTCACTCAACTCTGCTTGGTCCACGTGGGCAATTTCGGTGTGGGAGATTACTCCCAGCTTCAGGTTGTCCCACTTGTAGGCAATCATTTTAAATGGAATGCCGTTGATGTCTGGGATCTCCGCGAGCTGTACGGGCATACCCTTCTCGGCGAAGGTGATCTTGATGTCACCATGGAGCTTCAGTCGTTCCACCTTGGTGACCCCCACGATCTCATTAGTTTCAAAGAACTTCTTGAGAACTAGGAGGTTTAATTTCTTGGAGCAGGTCGGCGTATCCGGACGTGTCCGCGCCACGTTATCAAACTCGTAACCGTTCATGGTGAGAGAGGGTTAGGCTGCGTACAGCCAGCTACGCCGAGAGACTAGGTCTATGCAGTGGACGTAGGGGTACGATCGCCGACCTAGTCTTGACCTTCAACCTCCAGCTCAGGATCAGAGCGTTTCACACCTTACGCTTAAGTCGCTGTGATTGGCCCTCTCGCTACACTCACCCCAAATCCTGATCCTCGTAAATTGTATAAATACGGCCATGCCTGCCCAGGGAGACCATTCTACACTCGGCTACCGGACCAGCAACATCTCTCACAGCTCCTCACCATCCAGCTTCCTGAGAAACCTCCTCGCCCTACAGGACCTCTGAGCAAGCTTCTCCACCTATCACTCCTAAGCACTGCGCAATACAACAATATATATACAAAAAACGCATTGTGAGTTTCAATTCTACCTCATTCCTGAGTGTGAGATATCTACATGTACGTACGTTTGTGTGCCCATACTAAGATAATTGACAACTGGCCACATACAGTACGCTACAATTGGTCACTCCGGGGTCACCATTTGTGGGGTATGGGTTCTTTGGTTCACACTCAGGATGGGACGGAGAAAGGAAACTCACAATGTGCTCTCTGTATACATGTTGTATTGGATGTACAATGCAGCTTGGTGTTGGGAAGGCAGCATGGTTACAAGCGTGATGTAGAGAGAGCTGGTTGGTGAGGATGCTCAGAGGAGGACCAGCTTGTGGGTCGCCATGCTCGCCGACGAGCATGGCGACCCACAAGCTGTCCTCCTCTGAGCATCCTCACCAACCAACTCTCTTCTTCTAGCTACAGCCGCAGCAAGCTACACCACCTCCTCCGCCGCTGCCTTTTCAATTTACAAGAACTGTAGATAGTGAGGGAATCTTTAAAAAAATATACTGTATTGTATACTGTATCAAGAGTTATATATTACACAACAGGATATCACAATGAAAATGCTAATGGAATATACAACTGCTGTATTTCACACTTTTCAACAACCATAAAGATTTCTGTAAATTACATCAAATTCATTACAGATTTATCTTCCCATGCACAACTCAGTTATCTGCAGAATACTTCAATATTAAGGTTCCCTGTTTATTGTGACATTCACAATTATCATTGTAAAATAACAGAATTAATCAGAACCATCCAGTCATTATACAACCTCACATAATAATCTTTAAAAAAAGCTTGCACAAAAATTTCACATAAAGTAAAATAATACAGTACTGTACTGTATTAGGATACATAAACCTGTTTCAAATAAACACAAGTTAAATTCCAAAGCTTGAAGTGGGATAAAGATAGGAAGCAGATTATTTAGCACAAGTCTACCTCATGACTTGTGACAAGCAGTCTGCCAATCCATTGAATGAAATGAGATCAAAGTAATTTTTACATCAATGACCAATCAGACCATCTTGGGATATGTGGGTGGAATCATGAGGTAGCAATACCTGTATTTTATAATCTCTGATGTTTTAATGATATCATCACAAGGAGTCTGACCACCACAGCTGCCCACCACATACAAACCACAACTCTATGGTTCAAACAACATAAATCCAGATGGTATCACACTATTCTCCTGCAAGTATGACAAACAAATGGTAAGGAACTACACATGTATTTCTTCCCTGGCATCTACTTATCTCTCTCAGAGTGCAGCTGGGGTAAGGAAGGGCAGCAAGCTCAGAAGAAAACTAGGAGAAGGCAAATTGCATGACCCTGAACCACAAATATTACTTTGCCCCAACAGAGTCAGCAACTCTGTGAGCCTGGGGCACCTATCACCTAGAGTTCATGAATAAGTTTGTCTGCAGACTTTTTCAACCTCCCAGAAACAAAGTTAACTGTAGTGTGTGAGGTGGTAGAGCAGGTCAGGGGGTGAAATTCAATTGGCCAATTTTTTCATCAGCATTAAACTACCAGAAACATATTCAGTTTTATATTCAAGGTGATGGCTTTACAGACTTATATAGGTCTACTGCTGCCACCTGTAATTTCTGGCCTCTTTCCAAACATCTTGATCAAGGGTGATACTGCACACTCTTGAAGATAATAACTAAGAAAACTGAGAGAATTTATTGTGCTCCACACAAGCCAAGTCAACTAGGTGTTCACATCACACAGACAAAATAAGACCCAGTATGAAACTCACCAGACAAATGCAATATCATATGGAAGTCTAAGACAAATCATGAAAAAAATTTTAATTTTGATAATCTTTTACTTTTGTATAGTATGTTTTGTGTTGAAAATTAAACCTAGTCTATATACTGTAATAAAATTTTCATGAAATATCCCGGATACAGTGATTATAATCTACAAATTCCATATGTAAAAAATTCAGTTACTCACCTTTTTGTCCTTCTTAATCTACCACTGTACTATATCATCTACTTCTCTCAATCATGGTATAGTCAAAGGCTCATGGCAACAGACAACATGCTCTGAGGTGCCGAGGACCCAGGCAAGTGGTGGTATATTCTCAAGCAAAAAACTCTGGAAATTGCTGATGAGTGAAATGAAGGTAATCCTAGGCATGGATTAAGTACATTCATTCTCTATGGTTCATTCATCCAACAGAGCTACTGATTATTGTGTCACTCGCTCTACATCATATTTCACTTTCCACGCTACTTCTTTTCCCTTACCCTAATTTCATTTCTCAACCTCAGACCCTTACCTTATGCATATTTTCCTTCAATTCTATATTTTCATTCATACCCAAAATGAGTTCCTCAAACAATGATTACATGCAATAATTTCACTCATTAACTATTGTGATAAACTGCAGACAGCCAAGTTTAAGTTCATGGAAAAGATAAAGCTGCAGATATACATGAATACTGTACTGTAATTACATCAATTCATTATAAAAATAGTCTCAGGAACCCCATATGTTAACAATGCATATTCCCATGATTTTTCCCGGTTGGTTTGTATCACTAGAATTAGAAAGCATCAATGTTTGACAAAACGGATTACTGTATAAACATTTATACAATAGAGAATTATGGCTTCCGGAAAAAGTCAAGAGCAATTACAGTATTGTCTTGTATCACAAGTAAAATATTAAGTATGCTAAATAATCCAGCTGAATTATGACACAGTGTAATAAGTATTATGTCTAACATTCCATTCTGTCGGGCACTGAAGCTCTCTCAATAGTAACTTGGACTTCTACATCCATCACATACTTCCTTAGAAAACAATTAAATTAAAAACTTGATTAAGTACTATCACATGCACAATCAACTATGGACAAAAACAGCATAACAATTTTCTAACTGCATCTTCATGGGTCGATATACAAATATATACATATATAATATATAGAGTCAGACACAAATTCACTGAATCAATTTCAATAAATATTCAGTCCATGAGGTGCTGCAATTATTGTACCTTTTTACTTGGCAGAGTTATTATTGCCAATACATGTGTGTAATGCAGGGTGTTAACCTCTCCTATATATATGTATAAGACCATTTTAAAATATAACAATGAATTTGCTTGTTGAATCTATGATCTAAAACATTAATTCACACTACAGTATTCATTGTCATATATGTTACATGCTTGATTGACAAAGCTTTTAATCACATATATATGACCAGTCAATCACAATTCAGAATTTATACTTTTGAAGAATCTGAGTTTCTCTATACTGTGTGTATGTATATATATATATATATATATACACAGTATACTCAATGTACATATAAATAGAAAGCAAACAAATTTTGACAAATGAACAATGACACATCCTGGAAAATACTGTATGTGGGTAAGTGGAATCTAACTTATTCTGAATGAAAGTAATTAAGCCCCTTTCATGTCTATGACACCAAATTAATAGCTCTTTGAATGGCTAAAAAAAATTAAATTCTTTAAAGTGATTATTAAATTTAATATAAATAACTCACAGACCAAACAAGCCACTCAAAACACCTCTCCCTGTGTGAGTAGTGCAATGGACTTGAACCATCTCTTTAAGAGAATACTGTAGTACTATATTTTATAAAGTAAAAATAATAATTTTTATGTTTAATCTAAATTTAATGCCACACCAGCATTATAGAAAGACAAGTCTTCATATTGTTAAAATATTTGCCCTGTCTCTCACAGAAGCACAAGGTTTAAAAGAATGAATAAACATAACTGACGACTAGCATCTATTGAGCGATGAACAAATTATTCTTAGCTTTCTCAAGAGTCTCAAATTTCCCTTTTCTATTAAAAAATTTTGTCTACCAATGACCTAATAAATATAATAATACAGCAACTGACCGCATATTTATTCCAATGCATAACCATAAACTTCTTACAATCAAAAAGGCACAATTTTTTTTTTACTGAAATAGATGAAAGTTTTCATAAGGTATATATAATTTTTCTTGAGCTACACCTCTTGAGGAAGCATATAAATTGGTAGTATTTTTGATATGATCAATCTAAATACACTCCACCTCAGTCACATATGATAATAATGTCCCTTTAATTTTCAGTACCAGAATAAATATATCCCCCAAAATTCCATATAACACAGACAATATATATGAGTAAAGTTTGATCCTCAGCCCCGACACAGTGACACTTGTGAGCACAGAAACGTCCACTCTTAACGAACCTTGATTGACTCGATGATACAAAATGAGTTGTATTGATACAGTATAGATTTCAAGTCCTGTTGAACTGAAGATTACAAAAGAAAATACAGTAACAACAATAAGTTACCGGTATCCATGATATTCATATATATTAACTCCATACTGTAAATAATTAACTTGCTGCCAGTTTACATTATTTTCAGTGATCTATTTAGGGAAAAATAATATCACCAAGCTGAAAGGGAAAGATGATGTTTTTCAGTATTTTTTTTTTAATTGTGTTTAAATAAGGAGCTACCCACGATGATGTATACCATTGAGAAGAAATATTCTATTATTTTTCTGTTTTGCAAAGTTAGAAACAGGTACCATAGACCCTCACCTGAAGGATTCATAATACTGTAAGGCAAATTCTGTACTCAATACCACTAAGACAAGTTTATATACCAGGTATGAATACTGTGCTTAATTACATGAACAAGGCCACATGACAATCTCAACTTATTGTCTTAGTTAGCCCTTCCCTGTTCCATTCTGTACTTGTCCTACACTATTTAACTCAATTGTTCTCCTTTCTTTGAGGTGGTGTGTCTGTGTGTGTCTTGAACCACCAAATACAAAAGTAGGAGAGACAGAACGATGATAGATTCGAGTCACTTGCACATTATGATACCTTGACTGGTGGTTATCCAGCAGTTATCTGAGTACTGTATTTGCTATTTTCTGTGTCCTCCAGGTGTCACTGTCTCAGGCATAATGAAGGTTTAGTCCATTGTATTCAACAGATATCATGATTATTACCTTGGTTGTTTGAAGTTCAGATGCATCAACTGCATAGGAGTATTAACAACACCTGATTGTGACATCAAAATGTCACCAGGTGTTGTACTTATGTCATATTATGTCATGACAATATATCAAGATATACTGTATTGTCCTCTTAACCCATATTGTACAGTCATTAATGATAATATTTATGTATAATGCTCAATGGCAGAGTTAATCAATTAATCTTAATAATAGTGAACCTTTTTGTAAAATAATATTTTGTAACTAACTAAAGTGTAAAAATTTCCTCATTGTATCACTGAATAGTCCCAAGAACTGATACTGAACTCAGCTTGATGACTCACACCCTAGAAATAAAATTGTATCTTTGATAAACACCAGAATGTATTCTGTACAAAAGTAATATAAAAAAAAAAATACTTTTGATGCACTGAAGTAAGAGCAAAGTCAATTATCACCTGTATGTAACAAGTCTACATTAACAGTCACAAGAAATAAACATTCAACAATAATGAGTCATTTACAAAACCTTTTAAATAATGGTGTTGCCCTTCATCAGAATAATATACAGTACTGTTACAACACCACAGTACAGTATAACAAAATAGCTAATTAATTTATTAACATCTGATTTTTTCTTAACATAATCAATGAAATAATACAAAAAATAATAATCAACACAATATACTGTACATATGAATAAGTGACCTTTTGTTACAAATAAATGTAAAAAATCTGATACAAAAATTTGCTAAACACTGAGATTCTGTTAAAAAAATAAACTTGCATTACACTGACTTGCATATATAGTCCAATACTGTATGAGAGATGAGAGAGAATATATGATGGTCATTAAGTGAAAGAGTTACACTGTAATGGTTGGGACATTATATCCTATGATGTTGGGTAAAAAATTAAAAATTTCTTCTTTCAGTTTTAAAAATTCACATCACAAACACTTAAATGACATCTTAAACTTAGCAGATCAGAGAGCTGATGTTCCTACACAATATATACATGACACTGATTTGGCAACCACAAAAATAGTTTTCTATACTGTATATCTAAACAGAAGAAAAAATCAAAAGACTTGACTGCTAAGATAGCTGGTACTTGTACTGTACTGTATTCACATGACCATTAATTGCTATGTGACATTAAAATGTAACAAAATCCAATAATTGTTGTAAATGGAGAAAAATAAAATTCAGAGTAAAAGAATTCAAAAAGCAAATTGAATTAGAAAATTTACCGTACTTACAGTTCTGTGACATTATTACATTCTTTCAGAATTTTGGCTTTACATGAACAGTGATTAAGAGTTATGATTATTTACACATCTGCTGTACAATATTTTATGTACATAAACCTACACTCCTACCAATGACACCGTGCCTCTGATGACTCTGAACCTCTAACTGAGAAATAATCAACTCAATTAATGTTCTAAAATATGTGCTTACCCTACTTTCCTGTAAGTAAAATCTCTGTGAGGGTATTTCTTACTTAGCCCTTCTTCTTACTTTACTTTCTACACTTGTTATATACTATTTACCCCCTTCCTTTACCTCCTTCTCTGAGGTGTTAATATCCTTTGATCAGTACCACACAAAAATGGAAGAGGAGCAATAATATAAAACAGATAAATAAATATATCACTCCATCATCTAAATCAATGAGTATTGTGATAATATGGCTCCTACATCAATACAATTTCTAAGGAATATTTTCATGAAACATTCATATTGAAAATAATATATCAACTGTCTGGTGATAAGCAAAACTGTAGCAATCGGGGAAAACAACCCGTATGGTATAGTTTTATATTGCTCGTTACAGTATAGATTCTGAACTTGTGATCCCTGCTAAGTAATAACACCAAAAACGATATGTACTGGTTTCTATAGTAGTTGCCCAGAAACCTAGTATATATTTCTCCTATGGAAGGTTCTTCGATTTGACCATAATTATAGTATAGTACATATTGTGGAGAAGTAAACATCCTCAGTGCCTAAAGATTACTAATTTCTGTCTTCTCTAGCCTATTACAGTGCTCTTACCTATCAATGCTAGATCTTGGTGAAGAAACAGAGACAGTCAGTAAGTTCAGTAAGCTTTTAGCATGTGTTGTCCTCCTCTAAGTGTTAGGCAGGAGACCACAATATATACACACATCGATTAATAGCCAGATAAAAGTTTGTCTTTTTGCCGAGGAACATAATTATGAATATTCACCGTCTCTCCCAAAGCAAAAAATAATATTATATTAAAAGGAAGTGCCATCATAATTATGAAGTCTCTCAGGCTATATTATTATCCATAGTTTGACCTGAGATGGGTACTGAAGAATAAATGTAATCTGTTGGGAAAGTGAGATTCACTACAAACTAGTTTACTCCAGAATCATCAAAAGGCACATTCTGCCACGAGTCATAATGAAGACAATGCGAGTCTGAGGTCTTTAAGGAAGTTAAGTTACAGTTAACAGATTAAGCAAAGCAGCTTTGCTTTTTACAATTAATTAAATTACCTTTGTTAATGAAATATGCTCTAAGCTAAATCTGAAATTACTTAACATCAGAAATTTAATTTGACATTTACTGCAGCTTACTTCATATATACTTTTAATTATATTTTTAACATGACTGGCATAAGATTGTCATAGTTAAACTAGATCAGGTAGTTAGGCATATGATGAAGAAATAACCCAAATTGCTTTTACTTTACCAACAACATGAGATTTACATCTTGTACCAAATTATTCGTTTATCTTCTACTTAAAAGTGAGTAAAGCTGTTAGTAGAAAAAGGCTCTTGGCTGATGGCATTCACTTGGTATACACAGTACATGTCATGATGAGAACCAGTAAAAATTGTTAGCAGACGTTTGCTTGAAGAAAAGATTGTTAATGCATCTGGTCGACTACCACGAGCAACTTGCATGACAGCAGCAGTACAGTTACATTTCCTATTGATTTTTTAAACTCTGATTACCAGAATGTGATTTGACACTTGTTAGTCCTTAGGAAATAATGAAGTACAGTAATTCAGATGTCTTGACAACTGTAACACTAAACTTATGATGCAAATTCAGTGAGAGTTAATAAGCTAACTACTTGTATATTACACAGTTTTCAGCATAATGATTCTGTCATACAGTTACAAGTTTCATATGTAATATATATCACCTACAGCAGGTAAGCTCAACATTCCACTCTTAGTTGTTACTTGTTATATGCACAGAACACAAATATTGTTTATTCATGTGATAAACAAACATAATTTCAGAATTTCTAAGTATTGTACCTGTATTTGTTTCCAGTTATTGTGTTACTATTATGTAACACTGACATAAGCTATGGTAATTTCTTCTTACTGTGGTGAGTTTACATCTTACACTGCACTAAAACAAACTACTGTACTGTAGTCTGGTCTTAAGCCCATCACTGAACCCTTACACCTCAAACTCACTATACATAAAGTATCAGAACTATATCTCCAGCTAAAGAAAACATATTTCATAACTTTTACATTAGGGGCCATGATTCTTGTCTTTTCACTACAAGAAAAATTTGGCTAGGCACTAGATTAGTATTTTTTAAGGAAATTAAAAAATCCAAAGGTTTTAACTTGATTTATTAACCTAAATAACCATCTTGGGAAACAAACAACACAAACCAGGTGTTGCTGTCTCAGTATCTACTTTCTCCAAGGTTCATAATCTCACTCCCAGGCTCACCTCCCAGCTGGGTGTGTCTGCATTGTTGCAGCCTTGTTTTGGTGTTGCTTCAGACAAAACACAGCCTCTGTGGGATTTCTTTTATCCTTGTTGGAGGTACAAATGATGAGAAATGGTATGTAAACAAACAGTGATCAGCTTGATTCATAGACTCACTGGCTGTGAGTGTGGGTGGGCAGCACCTGGGCTGAGAAACAGAATCTTGTACCTTAGTTGTCCTATCCTACCAGATACTAAATATGGAGATGAATATGAGCATGTAATTCTCTGACGATGATACCAGTCTCAAGTGGTAACAATGTAGGCGTGAAATGACTCTGCCAGTTGCAGCTATGGGGTGGAGTGAATTTTGAAAAGTCAGTGATAGATGCTGCTGACAGTACAGTACTGTACCCATGAAGGGCACTGCGGCAGACAGTACAGTACTCGTGAAAGGGTTATCTTCCATTATAATTTTATACCTATGAATGGTTTTCAAAAATTAAATATTAGAGTCCCCAAAATATTCAGCTTTCACCACTGAAATATGGCTCCATTATTTTCTACATATGGAGTTCAGAGTTTGAGGCATGGGGGTTCAGTAATGGGTTAAATAAGACCTGACTAATAATGGTAATAAAAATTTACAACCACTAGAATATCTTTGTTATTCTAAATAAATTAAAACTGTAATGGAATTAATGCATTAGGGTGCTTATCAATAATACTTGAGACACTCCTATAGTACTGTAGAAACTTATCCATAATGCCAGTTTTTCAGTAGAAGTGTAAATAATAGACCATAGTTTAAGGAATATTGACCAATAAAAACTGTAAAAGAGGCATTCTTTCATTTCTCATGAGAATCTAGTGAATAAAATCCACAAATATTACTTCGCCGAGGAGCACTTGGACTAAATCTAATAAAAAATCTCTACCAGAACTATGAGATAAATTGTGTGACTTTCTATAGTGAATTACTACTTTATATTAAGAGTCTACTGATGAGTCGATGCAAGTTGGACGATGGTAATACAGTATTTATAGTTAGCTTATGAAAAAAGATGATGTCATGCACATAAACTTTAAAATAGAATATCTTTTTTCTTCAGTAAATTACTCCGCACTGTATTTCAGAAATCGGTGATGTCTAACAGTATTAAATGTCCACAGTCCACGGAATACTGAAGTCTGTATCTTACACATGCACTGGTAAAGAAATTGATTTTCATCTAGACCCCTAACACTGTACATACAATGCTTAATCAGCTTAATTTGGCACTAAGCTTTGCTATGCTTCATATACTGATATTTTCCCCTATGTAGCAGATATATATAAAGCATTATAAACAGTTAATGCTGAAATTTTTGTCACTGGCTGCCTTGCACTTCTTTTCTCGGCAAGCCCAATATTTGCTGTAACTAGGCTTCCTCCTCACATCTATCATATCTGAACATTAGTCGATCACTTCCATGCGGAATCTACCACCTGGAACAGTAAGACCTCCATCATCATCATCATCCTCACCCGCAGGAGAGTCATGGTACTCTTCAAGCTGAAATTGAAGATTCAAAGTTAAATGTTTTATAATTCTATTAATGTCACAAACTAATTTTCTAGATTTTAAATCTATCAACCTATACTGCTATAAGTATATTAGTATCTAAATTTATCACTAAAGTTAAATTTTATTAATCATCATACTGTAGACTCTATCAATATTTTTCCTACATAGCAGCTACATGTATGCATAAACATCCTCTTATCACTTTCTCTCCTTTTATTACTTTGTGGTTCAGTTCATCATTTTACTTGTTGACACATCTACTCCTAAACATCTGAAACACTAAACTTCCTCCATTCTATCTCCTTTAAAGCTAATATTTTAATCTCCTTGTGTCTATTCTTAACTTACTTTTATCACTACATGCAGTACTTTAGCTTAATTTCACCATCAACTTTCTCCTAACACTAACATATGTAACATTTCTTCTGAACCACCCTATGAGGCAGTGTCATTTACAAACAGTAGCTGGCTCATCTCAAGTTTGCTTTCTTTTATCATTATCCACCAAACTTGCATTACATCACTCTTCATTCCACCCCTCATGTTGCCTCTTATAATGTCTGCCAAAATACCAGCAACCAGACCTCATTGTACTGGTGCCTCAAAACATAAATATCTGCTACTTAAACATTTGCTACTCTATTACATATCAAATACCTGCACATAAAGCCTATAGTACTATATAATAAAACATGATAACAAAATACACTACATGGAAAAAATCAGTCTTTCTAGATATATTGTAATCATTTAGAAATTCATCTTAAATTACAATAACAGTACAGCAACTTACAACAATGCATCACTAACATATATTATAAGTATCTAAATGCATATAAATACTTTTAATTCTTACATATACTATTAATGGTGGATTAATTACAATACAGTAATAATTTAGTCAAAGGAAATACAGTACATCTAGCTTACAGTACAGGGAGTTCTGCTATAACGCGTGTTTTGATAACGCGAATTTGCTCTAACGCGATTTATGAATTCGGAACAATATTTGTATAACGCGAACGCTTGTTTGCTATAACGCGATTTTTGCTTACTATTTCTCCAATTTTGTGGTATTAACTGTGAATATGGTAAAGAAGAATGTCTCCAAAAGGCGCTCTGATGATAGAATTCCCGGTGATTATCGTAAAAGAAAGGATATAACACTTGAAGAGAAGCTCAATGTTATCAACCTCAAAATCACCCTTCTCCCCCATCAAGTTACATTCATATTTTTTCAAGGTAAAGTGTTAAATTTACTGTATGATTTCATTATTAGATATGAATGTAACATTTATTTAGACTGTGCTATCCTTTGTGTTAGGCTAAATACTAAATTTTTTCGATTTCGAGTAATCTGCACCTAACCCTATTTTCTCCATAAGCCCTGTTATTTCTATTACGCGATTTTCTATAACACGATATTTTACAAGAACACAATTATCGCGTTATAGCAGAACTACCTGTAGTAGCAAAAATTTTCACAATACAGTACTTTTATAAATATACTGCACAAGGTTTTCTAGATTGAGTATTTCTAAATTTAAAGAATAAATATTGTATGGGTGGTCAAGATCGTGTGTTTATATCACCATCAATGTTTAGGCTTGATAATAAGGCACTAAATCTGACCTGTGGTGTACTGTACTTAATTATTATTTTGGGAAAGTTCATATGTAAATAATAATTTACATAAGGTTATGGAACAAACTGGTTTTTTCAGGTTGCTAATGTAATTTTTGTTTTTAAACTCAGAAGGTTATTCCTGCTATAATTCAAGGTAGCCACACAGTTGATGATCCCTGTTCTTAGCATGAAACAGCTAGTGGGCTACTCTACCATCTGGCAAGATACTAGTCCTGACATACAGTTGTTCCACCTTCAGTAAACACCCCCGACGGTATATGTACTTACATTATACAGAGTGAACAAGGACTAATGTACAAAGAGGGATCCCAATCCTCCATTCTGGGCAGGAATCAAATCCATGATTATTAAAACACACAGGGGGAAATGCTCTACCAACTGAGCTATGGAGCCACTCATTTACTAATACTGAACAGCATTGTGAAACATCACTAACTCAAAATGCAAAAATAAAATTTACACTTGACTTCCAAAACATTTGCAAAACAAAAACTGATTTTAATAAAACTGACAATGAATGCTGATAGATAAGGCAGAAGGGGGTGGTGGACAAGGTAGGTTGGCAGTGAATAGTGGTGGGCAAGGTAGGATGGCAGACAGGGGCAGTGGGCAGGGAATGTGTGGCAGAGAGAGTTGGTGGGTGGTGAGAGGCTGTTAGTCTGACAGTGATCTGCCAGTGGTCATATTTCAACATGAATTGTTGCTAAAAAGTTCAAAATCGGGCAAAATTTCCAGCACACCACAAAGGTATGCTGAGGCTAGACTGAACTGCATATAAAGCATTTGGGTCCATATGTGGAATAAACAGAATAAACAAGCAATTCCCATGTGATAAATTTAGAACCATATTGTCTAACTCAAAGAAAAGTCATATTATCAAGGAATTGTAGAGAACTTCAAACTTTGTACATTTGTCTGAATTATTAGGAATTTTAGTACTGTATGTGAAGTTTCACTTCATATATATATATATATATACAGTATATATATATATATATATATATATATATATATATATATATATATATATATATATATATATATATATATATATATATATATATATATATATATATATATATATATATATATATATATATATATATATATATATATATATATATATATATATATATATATATATATATATATATATATATATATATATAAATGCTGTATCTATATCCACATTAATCTACAAGTTCACAATAACACAAGCCTTATCATCTATATGCTGTATGACTACTGTACCTTATTAATCTTCACCATCAATTAGACTCTATATATACTATACTGTACTGTAATACTGCATGTACTGTACTGTAATCACTTATGTTACCTGTTGGTGACCTGTATTGCTTAAGATATTAGTATTATCAGCCTCAAAAACAATTCCTTCCAGAAATGACAGGCCTGTAAGAGTGTACTAATGTATTATAATGTCTGATGCATAAATATTCATTCCCTACACAGAAAGGAAAACAAATAATATTTTATCATGCTCTTGATAATATGCCATGCACAGTGACAAGAGAGAGAATGAACAGATGCAGGAAGAGGGGGAGGAAGAGATGTTGCAACTTCCACTTCATTATCTGATGTACAGGTATAAAAAATAATCTGACACATTGAACAAATTTATACAGGAAATTTATCATGGCAGTTTTTCCACCGAGTTAAAATTCAAGATAATATTATCCATCAATTACACGATACTGTAAGTGGATTTCTGCTTAAGAAGTACCATATCTTTAAATGAAATTAATACAGTAACATGATTAATAATAATCATGAAGAGACTGCCAAGCAAGAACATCTAAAAGCCAATGTATGAAGTATTATCGCTGAAATATTTCTCTACTCACTGGACTTGTATATAGTCCAAATCCCTGAGTCCGGTCGTGGAAGCTGTGCATGAAATTGAGAAAAAGGAGAGTGTGTTATTAGTGGTGAGAAAAAGTATAAAGGCCTGTCTGGTTTCAACATGGGTGAGGTGACGAGGCAACATTCTGGTAACGCTCACTATGGTCGCACCTCAACTATTTTACCCACGATCAATGCCTATAACTTCGACCCAAACTCCTGGTAATTTATAAAGACAGTAATGTTCTAGTCCACTGTCGTTCATTGGATTCATTCTTATTGTTTCATATCTCTTGATTTTGGTTTTACGATGAATTTTAATATACGGGTATTAAGTATAAAGTAAAAAAAAAACTAATAGTTTACCATCAATGAACATTCTGAAAATGTGATATGTCTTAAATAATTGACATTGTGATCCATGTACTTGCTCTTTCCTCCAATATTCCAATAATAATTTCCTGTGAACTGTTATTTTAATTAAAGATTAACTCATTCACTATGGGTATGCCACTTTTAATATTTTATTTGGCAATGTCCAACAATTTTCTTCAGCTCAGAGTAGACCCCATACACAAGGGGTTAAATATCACATGTGACAAAATCCCTAAATATGACAAAAAGTCCAACTTGAGAAAACTGTATTAGGTATTTATGTTATACTGTATTCTAAAATACTCCAAACTCCTTTACCATAATATCTGAGGTTACTGTACTGATTTTCCCTTCTTAAACATGTACTTGTACTTTCATTAGACGGTAGAATAAAAAAAATTCTTTACAATTTATGATTATATGATTTTAAATGTAAGAATTATTGGTTATTTAAGCTATAACAACAACTTTGTAATTTTGAATAACTTTTTTGTAAATTTTAATAATAGTCAAGGAGTCACTTATTAATACAAGATCCAGTATCAATTTTGTACTGTACTGCTGATACATTATTTACTGTAATACCCGACTACTGTACAATTTATAAAGATTCAGAATAAATTTCCCAAATAACTTTCACTGAGTGAGGTTCAGATTTGTTATGCTCCCAATAGCCAAGTACAGTAAGTGCAAATTGGAAAAAGATGGACCAGACAAGAGAGCAGAAAATTGGTCTCACTTTATCATGCAGTTGTTTACATACATACAAACATACACACTGAGATACCATTTCATATAAAAACAAAACGATACATCATTTACTGTATATGCTATGTAATGAGAGTAAACAATTGTAATCTTAATATACAAATACTATGCTTTTGTAAGAAGTGTGCTGTGTGTATGGTAAGATAAATGACTGAGAGAAAATCACACAGGTACAGAGAACGTCAGTCGGGTAGCGTGATACTCAGCAAGCTCTTTGAGGCGGTGCGTGTGGAGGAAGCAACAGTGAGCACACCTGCGTGGCAATATCTAACCTTGTTTAGTTTACCTCTATACTGTATTTCCTGCCTAACCCATGCAGCCAGTGGCATGAACACAGCCCGTTTCGAGTCTGCTGATACTGTTCAGTCTGCTCTTGCTGCCGTAGAGTTCAAGAGATTGTTAGTAAAGGACGAAAAAACTTAAAGAAAATTTCATCGTAACATACTAACCATGAAGACATTTTCAGCTATGAGGTTTGAATTCAGCAGATGTTAATATGAAGGTGAGATAATAGAAAGCTTTCACTCAGCAAGTATCGTCATATAATATCCCTTCAGAGGAAATTATAGTTAAAGAAGTAGTACACACAAATAATGAATGCTTGAGGGGTATTAGTTAGTAGTTCAAGGCTGTGAAATGCATCAGTTAAAAGACTGATTTTATGTCATGCTGTAATGTGCGAGGGGAAAGGCAACGTGTTTCTAGTATAAAAATAGTTTAGTTGATGCCAGTGTCAAAAGCAATACTGGAACCAAATTCCTCTATTTGGGTTTTGAAAGAGGAAAGAAATTAGTCTTATCCTTTTCCAAGAGATTATTCTTGGTACTTACATCTTTAATCTCATACTAATCTATCCAGAAGTCTGGTTGTAAAGACAGTATAAAATATATATATTAACTCACACACATCACACAAATAATTGGTTATGATTTCAGAAATTTGTCTGAACATCTGCTAAGATTTCCTTTTTATGAAATCTACAATAATAAAGATTAATTAATTTTAATGTTTAACTGTTAGTTTAGTAGATCACACCTTTACTTTGCGAGTAAAACACAACTGTCACAATGTACTCTTTGTGTGCTGACTACAAAAATACATTATGTTATAACAGTAGTAACATTTAAATTTAAAAAAATGTGACATTGGCTGTCTCTGCTCAGTATGTATATAGTCATGCACAAATGTACATTGAAGTATCAGTAAAAGTAACATTATTAATCCTGTATAGATGAGAAAACAATGATAAACCTCAGCAAAAATTAAGCCACACAAGAAAAAAGCACCCAAAAACATGGTGTTATTAGGCATTAATGAAACCATCTTACAAAATGCCTCCCACTAATGTCTCATGACTTCTAGAGTCCACTGGCACAATAAAGCAAGTCTAGGATTAAAACACTTGAAGCAAACACTTGACAAATTACTTCATGTGAAGAACCAAATTACAATGGCCAATCATCAAAATATTCCTGCTATGAGATTATTTTGAAGATAATTATGTTCCTACACCCAAAGAGTTTTTGCTTAGTGTTTGAAAGACATTTATTAACTTTTCAATATTGATTGGCTAAAATCTCTGTAAGTTCGGCACTTCACAAAAAACTTCTCGGCAAACACATCACACATTTTATGTTGGTATAAAAAGTTACTAAGGTGTTATCATCTACAGCTTTCCCCACACACCTCAACCTCTTTGATTAGAGGTTGTCATCAAGGCTCTGGGATGAATCTACCCTATCAATGAAGAGTCGTGTCCACTCGCTATCAGAGGTGTCGATTCGAGGCATTGACTGTAAGAGAGAGTTGGTACATACTGTACTCACTGCAGATGGAAGATCTGGCCACAAGCCTTCATATTATCTTTGTTTAATTATCATATTCGCATTAAATAAGAATATTTATAACATTTAAGATGGATATTAGTTTTCTACTCTACAGCATCTAATCCATTATATACTGTATGACCTTAAGCTCTTGCACAATTGGAAATCAGATGTAAAATCTTTCTTTCAATCTGCCATTATATATCATAGTTTACACCTTATGTTCCATAAAATCTTGTTCTGTGAGTGAAATACTTAAGAGAATTCCTCCCAGAGTGAATGAGGCCAAGTTCCAAGAGTTCATGAACACCCAAGGAAAATCTTGGCCGTTGCTCACTCAATCTTATTGACATCCTTCCTGATTACACATTCCCTCCTTATCACTACCTGAATGACTTTCAGCTGCCTTAAACTATTAATTCAGTCCATCCCTAAAACTCCATCTTCTAATTTTAAAAATTGTATCCCCCTCATAATTTTATCCCTGAATTCCTCCCCTAATCCCTCAAATTAGAATACCTTAAGGATTTATAACTCAGTACTGTAATAAGATACCCAACAGTTATTTTTCATTTACGTACACCATTTCCTCTCTGAGAGGTTGAGGGAATTAAAAGACTATCTCTGGACATTGTCTTCAGGAACTGATCAATCTCATAACCACTAGTACTGTAGCAGAAAACACCTAGTTAACATGTCCACTTGAGTAGTAAAACTAGCTTCCTTGATGAATGTATTGTCTGTGATATACTTTTTGATAAGAGATCCTTCATGTCCTGTAAAAAGACTGAACACTGCTTACTAGGAAATAGATTCAGTCTGTTATCATCATTATTTAAAAAATGAAGCAAAACTCTAAATCTATATCTATGGCTGGTTGATGACCATTTTGCACTAACTCTCATGTGGTAGCGAGTGTTTTGTATAATAAATGTTCTTCACTACACTGTCATTCATCATTCATTCCTTACCTGAGCACCATCTCATCATACTCTACTCCACATCAATTTAATATCACCTACATAACAATACACTACATAAATTACTATTAAAAAAACATTATTAGTGAGTCTAAGTTGCAAACAAAACAGTTAAATTTATTTAAAAATGAGACGGCCATTTCCAGCACACTTGCCAATTGTCTTCTATATAATTTTCTCCAAACTTCATATAATTACCTACTAAAACTTTACACTTTTGCAAAAAGAAAAACAATACATTTTACATCTGATTCTTTAAACTATATAAGGATTTACCTCTTGAATTCCTTACGTTCCTTCAACCAACCTTAGAAATCTTAGCACTTACAAATAATGTATTGAAACTAATTTAAAACGTTTCCTTAGTTAAGAAAACATTGCTTTTTGACAGTAATAACCATACTGTATAGAATATAGAGTAGCAATACATAGTCATCGAAGAAGGGAAAACTGAAAAAAATAATTGTACTAGGGCTCTGCTTCAATGGGCTGTCCACTACTTCATTGTGCAAACTTTTTTGGGGTTAATATTCAGGCTAAAATAATACCAACGCCATACACACACTAACAACAACAGAAATATAAGCTGTTGATTAATATGAGCAATCACCCAAATTCAGACAATTTTATATGCATGTAAAAGTTGATCAACTTACCTCTTCACCCTTGATCATGCCTTGTGTAGAAATAGTTGTTTCCACTCTCTTGATTGAGGCCTGGTGGATGTCAGTATCAAAGCGGATGCACTGGCAACGTCGCATTAAGTAAACAATGGGGATGGGAAGGAAGCCACCCATAAGAAGTATGAGGCATACAAACATAGCCCATCCTGGATATGGTTCCCTGACAGCATTACCCTGTGGGAGTGTAGAATTGTTGTGGCACATCTCAAATACTGTACTTAACTTATAAGAAAAAAGTATCAATGGGAAATTAAAAAAAAATTAAGGGAAATAAAAAACTATACTCCCAAATTTGACAGGAAGTTACAAAATTACACTTGACATAATCCTCATGTACTTTTTGACTGACAAACATGACTACTCATGCCAAAGCAAAGATTATATCAAACTCCCAAATGTTATGACTGAACAAACCCCTCTTGTAAATAATCTGACTTGAGGTAGCAACACAACTGAGGAAGAGATGTATGGTATCATCTTACCAATTCCATTTTCCAGGCGGGATAATCTGGGGGATGAGCGATTCTGTAGTAGAGACATGTTACTACCAGTCCGAAGATTGTAAGGGGGGAGATGAATCGCCACGTTGCTTGCCAGTATAGCCCGGGTCGTTCGCCGATCATCCTCTCAATATCGTCGGTAAACTTCTTGTGACCGTACACGTAAGAAATGACTATTGTCTCAAAGAATGCGATCATAATCAAGCCCATGGAGCCAGCAAAAGTATCAAACATGCCGAGCCAGTATTCGCCAGCACCCGTGCAGAAAATCAAACCGAAGAGTAAACTGGATAAGCAAACACATCCTGAGGAAAAAATTTATCAGTTTATAAAAAAAATATCAAGAAATATTTAACTAATATTTCACATACCAATTATTTTACCTTTACTTTGTTCAATAACACAGCAAGATCATAGAAATATCCATTAGATCAATATGGGGGATGGACCCAGTGTATTAGTGTACAACATTGGTGGAGAAATATCCAGAGTATTTCATATTTAAACTTTCTTCACGTCAAATCAAAAGTAATGCTTGACTACTGTATATGTGATCTCTTTCCAATATCTAGTAATCCACATTATCAAAGACTTAAATAATATTGTAAATCATAGGTTATTCATGCTCATAAAGTCACACAAATAGGGAACTGAATAGAACATAAAAAAGACATGATGGAAATACCTGTCAAAATTTCCTTCCGAACTCTGGCAAACACCTTCATGTCGAACATATTTGTAATAACTCCTTCCATCGTGCCGAACTGTGACCCAAGACCAAGTGCAAGTAACATCATGAAGAAACAAACTGACCAGAAGTTACTTCCTGGTAACTCTACGATGGCCTGTGTAAATACAATGAAAGCCAGACCTGTGCCCTCAGCTGCCTGTGATGAGAAAAATGGATTTAGAAAATATGATACACAATTTTGTATTTAAAAATTTTAATAGTATAAAAATTAACTTAAAATCAATTAAATTATACCATAAATAACCATTATACAGGAACAAACTTATTAATTATTCCCAAATTCATAAAATCATTGGTCTACAAGTACTATATACCTTACTTTCCCATCTTGAACAGAATAATAGTGTACAGTATCCATATTCCTGACAGAAGCAACACTGATTAATTACCTAAATTATGAGCTCTCCAAATCCTCTTGGTCCTAAGCCTTTCTTATTCCTGATAAACTTTTGCTGTGGTTTCAAATACCTTTCCTAGTGTAGTACAATAGCTGACTGAGTACTGTGATAAAATTTACTGGACTGTTATGAAGAAAATTCTCAAAATGAAATGTATAACAGGAAGGAAAAGTTAAAAATGGCAAGAAATACTACTCAGAAATGCCACTATAATAATATCCACCTACAACTAGACTGAACAACAGATCATATTTTATAGTGTTATCTTATCCTTTTGTATTACCTGATTGAGTTCATCAGAAACACTACAGTGCTTGATGTGTTCGTGAGTCTTGTTTTCATAAAATTCCTGTATAGCGGGCAAGTAGACCTGTGGCCAAAGCTCTTCGTAGTTCTCCAGAGTAATGTTGACTTCCTGGGGGTGTGTTGGTAAAAGATCCATGATGCTATGAAGCTTCTTGATGTTACTGAAGAATGGAGGAAATGCTGTATCTTTAATCTGTTTCATATAATACAATACTGCAGATCTGTTTTTATGTGCACAGTTTAAAATTGAAGAATATATACACAAAACATTCATACCAAGAAACAAGAAATATACTGTATATTTTTCAATCATAAGCAAATGACTTAGTATTAATAACTGTACTCAATGGAAACTTTCATCTCCATCCACGTTATAAGATCAGGATAGTATGACAGTGATCTTTACTTGCAATTGTTTTCATAAATATATCTTAGTACGGTACCTTAAAAGTAATAATCATGCAAAATTTTAGACCTTCTAAATACTGACAAGCCTAATGCAAATCACTTTTTACATAAAGTATCTTAAAACTTTAATCTTCTGAAATGGTAATAATGATGTATTTTTCTAATAGGAAGAGATTGGAAGAGAATGCTGGAGAAACCACTTACTGATCAACACATTTCTCATAGTTGGCCACAGCTTTGAAGCCAAGTACAGCAAAGATGTCTATTGTAGCAAACGTGGCGGTGAAAACTGTGATAAAACACATGAAGATGGCATCACGCTTGCAGTTGTTCTTCATGGGATTATAAGATGCAAAAGCTATAAGCGAACCAAACGCCAGTCCAAGTGAATAGAAGACTTGACAAGCTGCGTCCATCCAAACAGTTGGGTCCAGAAGTTTGGTCATCTGTACAAATAACATAAACCTATGTTAAAGTTACACAACAAAAAGAAAATGCTTTACTGATAATGTAACATGTAAGTTTAAGCATATAAGACTCCCAACAGTCTACCATTATCAAGTAGTGAATCCAAATAAGTTTATGAAAAGACAAGTTCCAAACTGATCTTCACAGCCAAAAAGATAAAATGTTTAGATGTCCTACGGAGACACTCAATGGATAGTTTAATGCAGATGGTGGAGACCTTCAACAATATACTGACTGTTGTACTAAAACAAGAAAAAATATGCTCTCCTCAGTTTGTAGGGATTGGCAATGAAAGCCCAATACTCCCGACTTCCACGCCACAGTTATGACCTTTCTCAATATCCTTCAGGAGACAAAAATGATTTCAGTGAAATATTTCCTTCTCACTTGCATTATGGCAGTGACGGGATATTTACCTACAGTGCAGAATAATATATGAACTGCCTGAATAATAGAATAACAAATTTATTCACACATTACAGGGAAATCTTTGAAGTAAGTCATACATACACAATGAAAATAGGAATGTTACTCTACAGCACAACAAATGAACCTACATCTGGTGTGAACATGTGCTTAAGTCCCTCCGAGGCTCCCTTCAGCGTGACAGCTCGACCGAAGAAGATGACGAGGATACAGTAGGGGAAGATGGCGGTGAAGTAGACCACCTATGGGAACAACAATAACAGTAATTAATAAAAGGAAACAACCCAGACTTATTATGTTCTCATCAGCACCTGGGAGAGAGGGAACATAGTGTATCAAAACACCAGGGCCATATTGGACATGTCATTTCTTAAATCATCAGCATATTTAATCTCTTTTTTTGTTTTAATTTTAGCATACTATAAAATTTATTCTTAACTCTTCTTCGGCAATACAGGTACAGTACAGTACTCACAAATGATATATGTGCCAAACCCTTATAAATATTTTAGAATGTGAAGTCAAGTGTTGAGTCAGTTCAACCAAGGACATCTACTTTATAATTATAGAGATGTTAAATGTGACAAGTTTCTACTACAGTACTGTATGTATTCCTGGGTGTAGCACAACACCTTATTGTTCCCTGAATATATAGAGTAAACAAAACAGATCATCAACATATTTAGGTCAATACCAAACATATGTACTGCACAGGTAATTATCGTATACAGTTGTACCCCGCTTAACGCGGTTTCACTTAACGCGATTTCTCATATACGCGGTGCCTCGCCAGAACCGAACTTTCACTTAACGCGGTTCATCTACTCATATACGCGGGAAGCGGCGCGGGCACGATGCGCACAAGGTCGCCCAGTCATCAAAACATTACCGAGTTCTTCACCCGCCACCCACCACAGCCGGCCCAAGTCAGTGATAGTGATAATTATAGTGAGGATATGGACTTATATGGACTTTGAGGGGTTTGACAAAGAGGCCCTGCAAGCCTCTGTGGTGGATAGTGATACAATTGATACAAGTGATACAGGTGAAGGCCAATAATCTGCCTCTGCTCGAACCAACCGCCCATCCCCGTGTGCCCAGCCATCTTTTCTACTAATGTAAGTGTTAAAAAACCTAATATTATTGATATTTCTCTTAATTATTAATTGTGTGTGCATACCATCATAAAGTTAAGATAATATTTTTACTACAACATAGTTGTGTGTCGTCAAAAAGTGGAGTTTGGGGGTCGGGCCAGTCTCTATTGGAATTAATCCCATATGTTATGTTGTTCACTTTACGCGGTTTTCACTTAACGCGGTACCCTGTGGGTTAAATTGACCGCGTTAAGCGGGGTACAACTGTACTTCTATAGGTATTGTATATGAAAATAATTTAATTCAAAACAATGTACAATGCAGTTCAGGTGTATATATAGGTACAGTACATTAACTATACAGTATACTTATAACTAAATTAGTCTTTTTTTTTTCAACCAACTGACAGTTATTTGTATAAGTGCACAAAAGTTAAACAAGAGACCAGTTTACCCTGCAGTTAACAGACAGACTACAGCATTTCAGATATATTCATTCTAAATATAAATTACGTATACTGTAGTACCTAAGGTATATTGAAATTTTCTACTATTGTACAGTTTCTATTTTTTTATATATTAGTGCGCGAGGTGTGCCAGATATATTCATCTACAGTCAAAGACGCTTACCTTGCCAGACGACTGGATGCCCTTCATGATGCAGAGCCACACCAGCACCCAGGATATGGTCAGGCAGAGCGCCATCCACCACTTAACACCACCGGTCTCACTAATTGATGGGCTTGCGTCAATTGTTTGTCTGTACCAGAAATATGCCGTCTCACTGGACAATTCACACTCTGCTACAGGAAATGTTTGGTTGATGAATTCTACCGTTTCATTTGGACACGTCGAAAACGGCAGAGGCGACTGGAAGTAATTAAAACTGTTAAGTAATTTCATAAATTGTTTAAATTAATAAAATAAAGTACAGTATGTCTACACTGTTGAGCAACTTACAATATTTCTTTTCCAAGTACAGCATAGTATTTGAACGTACAGTACACGTCGTATCAAGTCAAGTTATTTATTTCAAAGTATTGTTCAGACAAGCAGCATTGATCCTAAAATTCCTTTATACAACAACAGATGACAAAAGTAATGTCTGATATGACAAGAGTGATAACCTAAGATTCACCCACACAATGCTGTTTGGTACAGTATACTGTACTGTACTACTTAAATTACAGTAATTGTAATACTAACCTTAAATGAATTAAATAGATAATAGAAGCACCATGCGATGATGACATTATAATAGAGTCCTACAAGGTAGGATACGATGGTGGAGGCAACACCCAGGCCCCCCCACCAGGGAGAGATGAGATTCCATACTCCTAAAGAACCTTGCCGTAATCTTTGGCCGATACCCAGCTCCAGCAGGAAAAGTGGAGCTCCCTCTAATACCATCATGATTAGATATGGGATCAAGAAGGCACCTGAAGAAGAAACAAAATAATTCAAACATTAGTTATCACACAACATAAAATACAAGTGCAAATATAAACTACACTACAGTACATGCTTCCAATACAAATTTTAATAATAACTTAGGCCACTCTTGTGAGGCATTTTTTTTGTAGTTCAGTAATCTTTCCTTTGATGTGGTAACATTTGACTTGAAAGTGAGTGTGTCCCATAGGTTCACAGCCTGTTAGAGGCACCCTGAAAATTATAGAGTTTGTGTTACCGGGAGTAAAAAAACATATACTCGTACAGTACAGATATCAGTGTCATCAGTCAGAATTTGGATGCAGCTCTTGTCCGGTAATAGATAGAGACTGTAGCTGATCATTTTTCTACTTCAGAATTAATATAACCAAACATTATTGCCCTATTAGCTCATATTTTCTTCATTTACCTTCGTGTCAAAGAGGCTGTAGATTTTCCAATTAGGCCCCAGTCCTAATGGGCCCCAATACTAGTGGAGTGGTCAAGTTAGATTGGGGTCTATGAGGACTGGAACCCTCCTGGATAATCAGCGTGTATAACCTGGGTGTGCTACTTTCTACAAGCTTTTTCGATCACCTGAAAAATCTCCACCCCAGCTTATTTCACCTAAAGATTAACCACTCTAATACTATTTGGGGGATGAGTTTAGGTTAGGTTGGTTAATCTTTTTAGGTCAAATAAGCTGGGACAGAGATTCTTCAGGTGATCTGTTTTTTCTTCGACCCAGATGTTGAAAATACTGTCAATCTCACCTAAAAAAAATCACTGCTGTACCTGTAACTCAATCTGTACCCATGGTTCCATATTATAAGTTTATAATATCATTGTACCCATATACCTGTAATTTGTATATCTGCCTACTAATGTCTGTTCAACTCTCCTCCTGAACCACAAACCCCGAGATTCAGACTCATAAATCCGAAGCAATTATGGACAGAATAATGCATCAGTCTACTGCTTCAGGTTAACTGGACAAATGAATAAAACTTTCCCCGTGAACTATTTATTTACCAATTACATAAAACGTTTCCTGTCATTTTAAAGGTAATTGGGTAGTTTTAGTTGACTCGGTTAAAAACATCTTGACTGAAAGGGGGATCAATTATTCTGACGAAGCTACAAGAATCATTACGAGACGAGAGGAAGGTTGAGAGAAAATGCTGACGGAAGTGGGTTAAGAGGTGCTTGAGAAAGTTTGTGTGTGTGTTTTACCGTATTTATTGTGTCTTCTTCTTATTATTATTATTATCACACTATTTCCGTACACACACACACACACACACACACCTCATTAGCTGTTCGTCTAGCCACCAACACACGTGACTGCCAACACAAACACCCCTAACACCTAAGACTAGGCCAATTTAAAAACACAAAACAAAACAAAATAAAGAAAAATAATACAGATAAGTAAACCATCTTGGGTACGTTCCAACCCTTAACTATGAAATTTCCAAAGTCATTCGATCGTGTCTATGACTTAACTAGCGGTGTTCTGGGCTATTAAAAAGTCTTATATTATCAGTGTTTTAAGGATGATTATGTAACTCTCTGAACTTAAGACAAATTTCACTATACAATGAAAATTCTCTAAATGTTTCGTCTTGTAGAAATTCTTAATAGATGATTTTTGGTTCTCTACACACACACACACACACTTGTTTCTATCAAGTCCATATAATAAATAAGCATCAGTAAATGAATATATACAGAGAGAGAGAGAGAGAGAGAGAGAGAGAGAGAGAGAGAGAGAGAGAGAAGGAGGGGCTCAGTGGGTAGTGTGAGGAATGCATTAGTAAGGAGAGAAGGAGGAAAGAAGAGAAGGAGGGATGGAGGGAGACAGGGAGGGTGTAAGCAGAGGCAAGAATGTATTGTAGGAAGTGAGGATTAGGTTAGTAAGAGGAGAAGGGAGGAAGAATTTACGAAAAGGAAGACGAAGAGATAGTGTGGAATGGGGGGAGAAGGGAGCGTGAAGAGAGGAGGGAGGGGGGAGCACTAGTGAAGAGAGAGGGAGAAGGAAGATGGAAGAGATAGTTAATGAAGGAAGAGAGAAGGAGGCATCATTAGTGTTAAAGGAACGTAGTGAAAATAAGCATTTTTTAGTGGTATACCCTTGTTCGGGGGAGGGAGTTGGGGGGTAGAGGGAGGGAGGACGGGTAGAGGGAGGGAGTCAGGGTAGAGAGGGAGGGAGGAGGGATTGTAGCGGGGCACTGACAGACGCTAATGGAGACAGCTCTCACCCTGGGTATTTTTAGCTGTCTAAATATAGGTGAGGGACCCACACCGCCCCCACCCTACAACGTCCACCTCCCCATCACCTCAGGGTCCCTTCGTCCTCACCCTGCGTCCCCCAACCATCCCCTACGCGATCACCCAAGCCCCGCCAGCCCTCACCCTAGCCCCGCCAGCCCTCACCCTCAGCCACCCGGGGTACCATAAGTAAGGATTCCTCCTCCATTCATTACCTTTCTTATAATATCAACAAAATTAAGTCCTCCAGGTGACCGACAGACCCCGCAGCCACAATTCTTACCTCAGATTGTCAACATTTCACGTAGTAACTTTTTCCTCTTTAACTGTATAGGAGAGTAAGTTACCGGCTCACGTACGCTACAGTCTAAAGAATATATATATATCAGAGAAAGAAGACGACTGAGTATCATATAACTCTACTCCTGACGCCGCAGCACCCAGTAAAGATTGTGGATGTTGCTACTGACGAGAGCGGCGACGGAGGGAGGGGAGAGGGGTAGGTGCTAACAGGGTGCTCACTCTACCACACAAATGTCAGGGGGAGGGAGGGAGAAGGGGGCACACACACACACACACACACACACACACACACACACACACACACACACACACACACACACACACACACACACACACACACACGCATCAGCTGAGGATCATGACAGGACCCCCCTAAAAAAAACACACACACAATATGCCACATTATTTTCCTCCCTCTAGTGTATCAATGTTCCAATATATCAAGGATCTCCGGTGTAGTGTGTCGTGGGTGTAAGGAAATACTAACACCACCGTTTATACCCAGACCACTGCACGGGCTAACAGGTTTATCTAGTTCTACCACCACCACCACCACCACCACGACGGCAAAAAAAGAAAAAAAAAGAAATAAAAGGCCGTAACGCGTTATTAAATGCTTCTTGAGTTTTACTACTTTCTAAAGATTTTAACTCTTTAATATATCCTCAAGTGTCACAAACGTTATCATATACACTGACACATATACATAAGAATACATACCTATACATACTATTATTTATATTTGAGTTATAAAACGTGAATATGTTCTTTCATAAACAATATACGACACGAATAAATCATTACGATTCCTGGAACACAAAAAAAATTCCTCATTGTGAAGAAGAAAATAATTGAAATTAGCTGAAACAATACAAAATAAATGCTAGCACACACACACAACACACACAACACACACACACACACACACAACACACACACACACACACACAACACACACAACACACACACACACACACACTCCAGAGTCATGGAAAGTTAGCGCGTCAACTTGCTATTGGTTCAGGAGGAAGAAGGTGGGGTGTGGCCACTACAGGTCCCAGGTCACAGCAACAAGAATTTGGTTGTTTTATCGTAAATCATTAAAGTTCAAGGTCTGCTGCAGCACTCAACACCTGCACTATTACACTACAACTTTACTCTCCACCTATACTACGCCACTCACTAAACGTCAGTAAAGTCACAGTGATTATTTACATTCACAAGTTACGTCTGACCGCGATCATAATATTTTTTTCATTTACCAATATATTTACGTAAATTACATACATTAATAAAACTTACAATTGATTAATCCTAGTGGGGGAAATTCAGGATACATTTTAAATATTGATTATGTCTTTAAAGAAAAATGAATAATCAATGGAAATCAAATTCAGTGACTAGCCAAGGTTTCGTCGTCTGAGCAGAGCCAAAGTCGCTGTTACCTGATCTATGGGAGGCCAACTGATTAACTGTTTATAATCTAATGTGTAGATTTTTCTTCTATTATGGTGGTTAGGTTAGGTTGTTGCTTTAAGTCATCGATTGTAACACCTTCCTATTCCACTCGCAAGCTTAATTAACTAATCTGGCCATTCAGAGAGCTTAATTCACTGGCCAATCAGAGAGAGATTGAGTGACTTTTTGGCCACTCAGACAGCCTAAATTTTTGGGCCAATCAGAGAGCTTGCAGGACATCACACGATCAATCTGGAGCTGATTTGAGGCGGATAAATGGATAGAGCGCTCGCCTCCTATACTGCGGGTCACTGGATCGAACCCGGGACACCACTAATCCATGCAGCTGAACGAGTGCAGTGCCGACCACGCTGCTGCCACGTGGTGCACAGAAGAAGAAGACGAAGAAGAGAAAAGAAGACGAAGAAGAGAAAAGAAGACGAAGAAGAGAAGAAACAGAAGAAGACCAGCCTACAATGCGGTATATCCCCACTGCCTCTAGCAATCTGCCAGGCCTATAAGACCCACTTTCTCTCACCCCCCCCCCTCCCTCTCCCTCTCCTCCTCCTCTCTATCCCTCGTCCCCTTCTCCTCTCCTCTCCCTCTTCCTCCCAGCCACAGTCATAGCACAAGTAAACGTATAAGAAGTAATAAATGGTGAGGTCATTATAGTGATTGACTTGTGGCTGACCTTTGACACACACACACACACACACACACACACACACACAAACACATTTATACATACGTGCACATAAATATATATACACACATATCTATCTATCTATCTGAAGTGGGTCGAGACTATCCTTGGTTACATTGTGAGGGAAAAAATAAGGTTGGTAGACGGTGACGCCAGGAGGTACCCCAAGGTGCTGTTAATGGCCTATTGTATCTGTCTCCTCCTACCCCACGGCCTCCTCCTCCTCCTCTTGTTCCTCCTCCTCCTTCCTCCATGGATTCCTACTCCTACCTT